TATAGTGATTTTTATCAGTCAATTAAAGAAACAACTTATAAGGGTGTAGGTGTGTACATATAGATGAGATAAGAAGTGAATATTTACACCCACACCCACACCCTATCTTCTAGCAGTTTATACATCGAGGCTTTCAATAGAGGCTCTAAAGTGCTTTATGAAACAACTACGGCAATAAACATATTCAGTACAATACATAGGCCTGATGTGAGAATGTCTAATAGAACACCATTTTTTCCTTAGTTGAAAGAGTCATCCCGCTAAACAAGGCCAAGACAGCAATGGATGCATTATCGTAGTTTTTTAAAGCTCTAAAATTGAATAAGCGCAGGCGAGCAAAGTGACGCTTTTGGAGAAGGTAGAAGGTCTTATCATCTCACAAGCTGATAAAGTTCAGTGCTTTAGTTTCTATGGTTCTTGAGTTACGACTACCGAAAAGTGAAAAAAGGGTGAGTACGTTACCTGTGGACAAACTGAATAACGTGTATAGAGTTATGATCTCATTGATCTTTCTCATGCTCTTGAACGTCAGCTTTGTCTTCAGATTTAAAAAAAATGAGTTTAGCATTTCTAAAAGAGAATTATGCAATCAAAATAATAGAATATTTTTCTATCTTGGCATTTTTATCATTATTTTTTATTGATTTTTCTCACTAGATCACAGAAATTATTGGGCGAGTGACATAACTTTACACGACATGCGACCACTATGTTGGCCAAATACAGTTCAATTAACATTAAGTATTCAACGTTCCAGCGAAATAATCCTTTTATTTAAATACAATGCTTTATCTGCAATTGAATATTTGAACATTACTATTGAGAATATGAATACTGATCTAGCTTTCAATACAGATATATCAGCAATGGACATTCAACTTTCAGAAGATTCCCTACGACAAACGGCTGTTGTTAGTACTCATCTGAAACATTTACTCTTACGCTACATAACTTTGAATGATGCTATTATATTGATTGGTTCGTCAATCATGCCTGTACTTGAAGAATTGATACTTATTAATATGTATGATAACAGTAAGTTATTTCTTTATCTATTATTGTGACAATGAGCGATTGTAATCATTCAGTTCTATCCATAATACACACTAATTATAATAATTATTTAATAAAAAGTGATCGTTTATCTTGTAGGTTGTAATGATTTGTATTTATAATGATGAAAGACTTCGATTTTGGGAACAATGACCAGATATATATGTAGCTATATGATACACGTAATAATTAGTAGATTTAATCAAAATAAGATAAAGGAAAGTGTCGAACTATCTAACTATATGATAATGAATGAAATAATTGATAAATGTTTAGTTACATTCACATAGAAACACAAGTGTCTCATTCTTGTTTTATACAAAATCTCCTTTGACATAAGAGAAGCAAGAAGTAACAGTTCGGAATTTTTTTCCATAGAAACGTTCTGTTAAAAATTCTCTGTTTTGTAACTTTAATTATTTGATGCTCAATACCCAACAGAAAGATATTCTTTATCTTTCCAAGAATTTCAATATGTTGTGTCTGTTTTCATTGTTGATGTGACCAATTGAAGTTGAAGATGTATGATTTTCAATGCATATTGAGACGAAAAGATTCATTTCATTTCTTTTCCTTACAGCTTTAGATCATTTTGGTCAATTTCAAGAACTTTGTAGTTCTACATATTTACCTTCTTTGAAAACGCTTCATTTCTCACTATGTTTTCCTCAAGAAATCGAACATGTATGGAGAATGAATTCATTCAATTACAATCGTCAATGGCCTTTTGAAAATATTAATTCTTATATAGATGAGAGTTATATGCGTGATCTAGATGAAGAAAAATTTATTCCAAAAATCCTATTTTTTATCTATAACTGTCTAATTAATCTTCTCTATCGTCATAAACGAGCTTTTCACAACTGCGGTTTCGCAACACATGCATCTGCTCCTATTCGGACAATTCGACGACGATCTATTCAATGGATATGTGATCAAAAATATGAAGCTGAGCAATTTAACAAAACTCTACAAATAGTTGCAAGTGGTCAAGTTACTGAACTCCGTCTAACATATTTAAATGAACGAGTAAGTCGAATGAAGCTTCTTATTTTCGAGTTTGAATTGTAGTATTTTATGTATAGAAAGTTCGAAGCAAATCAGAATAGATTGTATTAATATGAAATTGATAGAAAATAAATACATCTCTTACTTAAACGTCGTTAATTCGTAAATTAAGTTTTATTTTATATGATAGAATGAACAAATTGATAGCATAAAGAATAATGGGAAAACTGTTTTGCATAAAAACATAAAATTTTATCTTCCTCTGATATTTCGGAAAAAGCTACGTAGTCACAAATAAGAAAGAATTGTGATCAATCTTTTCAGCTATTATACCAACTGTTTATCTATTTATGGACCATTAAAAAAAATTTCGCTATTCTTTATTTTGTCTTTACTTCTCAAAATAAAGTAACACCCTATTCTTAACCAAAAATCGTGAATTAATTTGAGTTTATGAATATATTAGAGATTTTATTATAAAATCTAACTGACTGAGAATAGTATTTAATTTCCGTTATTTTTTATAAGTTCTCCACCGATTAAATTTTATATTTCAAGTTACTGAAGATTTTGTTCTTCTTAGAATGTAGTGTGTAAATTAATTCATATGGAAATTTTCGACGATATTTTCTAAGGTCGATGGTCATAGAAGAACATTGATAAAATAAATCTTACTTTGATTTTCTATTGTGATTAGAATCTATTGTAAGTCCTCGATGATCGGAGATATCTATCTTTATATATGATCGATTTGGACTTCTGTATATGTTTTCCGTCGCGAAGAAGGGAAAACGTTGTTCAGAAATGTCACACGATGAATCACTTTATATATCAAATACAGAAGACAAAATTCCTACTTATAACATTTATGATATTAAACATAAATATAATTTGTTCCACGCATTACTCTATATCTTTTCTCATGTTTTTGTAACGATTTGACTCTATTAAATTTGAGTTTCTAAAAAGTCAAAATTCTTGTAATATAAAAAACAATCATTAAATGCTGTAAATTACATATTTGCACCTTTTAGACAAATACATTAATAATGTCAGAATGTAAATCACATTGGAATTTATCGCTTAATCATATACGATCCATTACATTCAACATACAATCAGATTCAATTCAGCAATGCGAACGTATCGCCATGATCGAACAAATTCTTGATGCATCACCAAATCTTTCATCTCTTGTAATAGCATGGAGAGATTTTCAACATTGTTCACAAAAATACTTAAATTTGAAACATCTGCATCTCTTATTAAATGGAAGATTCAAGAATCCTAAACATTATTTTGATATTCATCGATTAAATGAATTAGTACCTCATCTATATACACTCGAAACAAGTGATTCAGTTATGATGCTGAATGAAAAACTTATTGAATTTATTTTGAACATTAGTCATCAGTTTGATCAACTAGTCTATTTGGTGTTGAACAAAAAGTGTTTAAATCGATCTAGTGGCAAAAAAAAACTCGAATTCACAGACAAATTAATTGCAGCTAGTCATGATCAGATATTTCATGGTTATAATATGCATTTTCAGTTTTATGGATATGATGAACTACGTATTTGGTTCTAATATTATTAAAAAGATTTGATTTTCAATATAAAAAATGTAGATTCGCGAGCGAGAAGATGTGTAAAGATAATTTTGTTTATCTTTTCTAAATAAAATTGAAATGAACTACGCGGTATTCTTGAGAGTGTGGGTGTAGATACCAATGTTAGTATGCCCACATACAAACTCACCCACAACTCTCAATGTCATAACGAGCAACTGACCATTTCCCTAAACAACATGCCAGTTTTATCTATTTTGCATTATTGTGCTTTTTCTTAGATTGCCGTCGTAGATCATGAAGGCTACGAAGTATTTTCATCTATTATTATACTAATATCTGAATGTTAATTTTGAAGAATTTAATTAAATTAGTTTTTAAAACTTACAAGAATAAGAGTAATCTACTTTTTGTTTGCGAAACCAATATATTCTTTTCTCTTCTAAATAGAACTTCCCTTTTCTTTTTCGAGAAATAAATACAATAAAAAAAAACTTATGTATTAAATGAAATACAACTAATGATTGATCGTTTTTGGATATTCCATTCGATTTTAATGGAAATCTGATTACACTACCGTATTTTCAATTCATCGATTATCATTGATTTATATATAAACATAAAAAATGTCAATTATATTTGATCTTAAATGTTTATTAATCTTTCTTCATTCATTTAAAATTCTTATACCTTAGTTTTTATTCTGAATAAAAAAAACTGATACAACATAACAAGCAAAGGAAAAAAAATCATGGTTAAATTTGAAAATATTTTGTGTCTTTTATGTGTTCTTTATTCTTTGTAAGATATTTTATTTTTTATCTTTTTCTGTTGTCTGTTGTTGTTTTTGTCTATCAGCTTCTAATTTACTTTGTTCCTCTTCATATTGTTTAATTAATGTTGTTAATTCTTCATCTTTTAACATACGAATTGTTGTTTGATTTGTTTTATCATCATGTTGTAAAACAGCAATTTCAATTTTCTCAGGCGTTAATTTTGTTGTATCAAGAGTTTTACTAAATACTCTTATAGCTAAACGTAATGCATCATTAAGTTGTGTTTCACCTATTTTATATTCCTGTTTAAGTATTGATATAGCTGTTTGAGAATTATGACCAACACATGTAGCTTTCCATCCACCAAAATTTCCACTTGGATCCGATTGATATAATTGATAACCATAATGTTTATCCCAACCCATATAAAGAAATGATACACCAAATGGACGTTTACCACCAAATTGTGTATATGCTTGTTTTATATTACATAAACGTGAAACAATATATTCAATTGGTGCTGGTTCTTGATATGTTAATAAATAACTAAATTTCAAAAAATATTTTTTATTTTTTTTTATCATTATTTCAAATATTTACCGTTGACCAATCATACGTAATTCATTAATTAATACATTTGCATCACTGGTTATACCAGAAACTGAACAACAAAGATCATCATGAATTTTATAAATTTTTTCCGAATATTTAACATCATCAAGTAATGGACTGACGTTACGTTTTTCACCGGCTAAGACAACACCATTTTCAGCAAGTATACCTAATGAAGCACCAGAATGTGATATAGCTTCTAAAGCATATTCAACTTGATATAAACGACCTTCGGGTGAAAATATTGTTGCACGTGTATCATATCGACGAGCCATTTTATTAAAATCTACAATTTAATTGACAGTCACAACAACAACAACAACAACAACGAAAACTAATTATATTATTGCGTTTAAGAGAGATTCAAAAAGAAAAATTTACAAAAAAACAGATTTGTACAAAAAGAAAAGGCCAACTTTGTTTTGTTTTTATGGATGAACATCTGTATGACGACGTTTCGGTTTTTTTGGATTACGTGAACGACTTTTAGCTTTACAGATAGGACATATCGGTGCATTACGATGTATTTGTTGTTGACATGATTGACAAGTCTAAAATAAATAATAGGAAATATTTTTATAGATAATTTTTTAATTGAAAATCTACCTTCATTGGCGGTGGTTGTTGACGAAATGATGCTCGATCAAGATTTGATCCCATACTACCCATAGTTTTTGGTATATTCATTGCTGATGCTTGTTGTTGCTGGTGTTGTTGTTGATTATTATTATTATTATTCGGTGTTGACATATTACTATTCGTTGTATTAGTCATTTGTTGAGATTGATGATGAAATGATATACCTAATGGAATTTGTTCATGTGTATTATCTAATCCAGTTGATGATAAATGACTATTTCGATTGACTGGTAGATCATGATCATTGGATTGTTGAGATATTAATCTTTAGAAGGAAAAACATATAAATATTTCAATCGAAAAAAAAATAATGAAAACTAACTGCATTGCTATTAATGTTGTATCATCATCATCATGATCAGAAAGTCGTTCGAGATTAAGCATATCTCGTAATTTATTAACTTGTTCTTTTATTGGTTGATAATCTTTTAAAAGACGTTTACTATCTTGTATTGCTCTTGCTCGTTCTTCATCAGCTTGTTTTATTGTTGTTTCCATCTATGAATACAATAAGAAAATTATTTTTGTTGAGAAAAATAAAAAAAAACAACATACAATATTAATATCGGCATGAATTAATCTTAATTCTTCAATATGTGACATACGTTCTTGTACAAGCATATCAAGTTCTTTACGGAATTCACGTAGAACTTGATTTTCACGTGTAACTAAGTCCGTATGTTGTTGTAAATGAGTTTGAAGACGTTGAAATTGATTTTGTTTTTCTCTATTAAAATAATAAAAATAAATATTTGAATATTCTAATTAATTATTCAAATAAACCCTAATTCTTTGATTAAATCAAGTTTACGCATTGACATCACTAAATCTTTTTCATCAATTGATGGTGTTGATGACGGAGTTTTTTCAGTAATTGCACTTGTATTTTCCATTTAGATATTTTTTTTTTATTATATTCTTTACTTTAATGACTGACACACACTAGTACGACTACGACGATTAGCTACTGAACGAAACAAAACAAAGGTCAATTGAAAAAAATAACCAATAGAAAAAGATGACGCTACAATCGAAAATTTATATTTTATTAACTTTTATTTTTATTTTAATCAATAAAATTATTTCTATAAAATCCTATTATTTTTTAATAAAATATTTCACAATTTCAATATATTGCAGAGGATATTGTCAGTGGTTCATTTATATTAATGAGTAATTGTATAACACCTTTTGACAATCAGTCATTATTTTAGTATGTTGTATAACCGATAAAATATGATAGTTGAGTACTAATAGGCTTCATTTTATATGAATCAAGGTTTTGAAGATTGATTTTATCGGGAAAATGCTGACTATGTAAAGGTAGAAAAGGATAGATCAACGAGAAAAGAAACCAGATATTTTATTTTTTTATTTGTACAATTAGAAAAAATTATATTTAAAAATGAAAACGATACTAAATTTTATTGTCATCTTCAATGTTATTACGACTTCTTCGAATAGCATAATATTGATGTCGAATGAGTCGATAGAGCATTTCTGCTAATTCCATTAAAGATAAGAAACTAACACCAATCCAAAGACCTGTTTGACCTCCAACATTAGAAAGTACATCAACTGCAGTCATTGTTTCTGTTTGAGTATAATTTTCGACTAAATTTGATTCATGTATTAATTCAACTGAAAGATAACTTGAATCAATATGAGAACGCCAATTTGTTGACCAATCAATAGGTAATGGAATTTGAGATGTTTCAGCAAATTTTTTAATATCATCCAATAACCATGCAGGTGGGGTTTTCCACATAGATGTTTTAAGATTAAAACTTGTTATAGAACATTGTTGTGAACAGTATGGGCAATATTGATCAAGTAAAGATGTCGATGTAAGAAACGTGTAACCTGCTTGTGAATAACATTTATCGGATATATTGCATAGAGGAGCAATGATTATTTCTTTAGTATCAGGTAATAAAACTGAACGAGCATTCCATTGTTTAGGATTAATACATCCACATTGTTGATATCTATAATTATAAGAGTATACATTTTAACAGATAAATATAGAGAGAGAAGTAGATACTTACACATAGACTTGTGTACATAATTCATAACAAATATCTTCTGAATATTCATATTCCGCACCTTGATAATTATCAAACATTGCTTGCATCATCGATGGTATTTTATCATCACATGTTGAATAAGGTGCTCGTAAATATGAAATCGTCTTTTTCGTATATGTAATTCGATGTTTAAATCCAGTTGCTAATGCTATTCCAGCAGAATCAATCAAAGGTAATTGTACATTATTATGTACCATACCTATCATACCAATACCTTCTCTTATATACGGTACATACTGATGACTATGAACATAAAAACGTAAATTTAAATTCCCGGGTCCACCATATTCATCACTATATTGTATATTTTTCATATTTTTTAACTTAGCATTAAACGTATAACAAAGACCATAGGTCGATGAATAAAATGAAGTAAAATTTTTTGCTGAACAAGAACGTCCATTGAAAGTACATTTGATCAGCATTGTTTCAAGTGGGAAAAAAAATTCATCAAATGATTCATTTTGATTAACTTTTATTTGTAAAAAATCAGCAATATATTTTGCTTGATTTGATGAAATCGATATTGAATCATTCATACGTGTTATATTTAACATATCTGTAAAGTCTAGAAATGGTTTAATAAAACGATCATAACGAATAGGTACAAGATTACAAATAGTAAATGCAGGAAAATATTGTGGCCATTCATTAATCATATTAACTGATGTTTGAGTTGAATAATCAAAATAATTACGAATCTCTCGAATAACAAAATAAAGTGTAATAGCAACAAAAGCAATAGAACAAATTGACCAAAAAATTCTATTATGTTTACTTAGACTTCGTGCAATGCCAGGAATTCCGTGAGCTGATGTAGTTAAAGCAAATTGACGAATAATTGATCGACGTCGACGTGGATTACGTTGTATTTTAAGCATTTGAGGATTGATTACAAAGACAGTTGCAAGAGACATAATATAATATAAAGTTCTTCTTTTCTCGAATTTTCTTTTACTTGTTTTTAAGAGTAGAATTTTTATTATTTTATACTCTGTACATTTATAATATTTTTTTCACAACTACTTAATAAATTATGCTAGTGCAATACACATGAGTAACAGAATCAATTGATTCAGCCGTTAGAATTTCATATTTTTATTTCTTGTAAAGTATAATTTGTCGATAAACTAAATTAGACTTTGCGAATATTGATGTATTACATGAAAGAGACATCAGTATTTTCTGGGAAATAAATTGAGATTTAATGATTCAAAATGTTTGTACTGATATTTTAATCGTCAATAAGATTGTAAATATCACCATTAGATAATTTTATTACACATAATCACGGCGAATATTTAACTGTACAAATGTATATTTATTGCTTGATTCAAGATCTTATTTCTAATATAATAATTATTAAACTAACATGTCAACTGCTATGTTTTGATACTTATATATAAATCTGATGATATTACAATTTTAATGAACTCAATTCATGTATTCAAGTTCTAATTGGTTTGTATTATTTATGAATTAACATCAGACGATCGTATAGTTTTGCACATATCTGAATTATATTAACATCTTGAGGGTGTGGGCGTGAATGAGGATAAGATGCATATGATATACTTATACTCGCATCTACAGCCACAACCTATTTGTAAGTACTGGTATGTACGATGTACTAATAAAAGAAAATAGGAAGTCAGATCAAAGTAAAACTCAATTTTGAAAATATACATCAGAGTGCCGGACTACTTATTGCACTGTATCGGATGAACATGAAACAATTTATAGTATGTTTCAGCAAATGTTGTATGATGTAAATTATTTTCTATTGATTGTTCTATTTTTAGAAAAAATTCGTTAAAATTTAATACTAGGATTATTTAAATTAGTAACAAATGTTTGTATTAATTTATACCGATTCATTGGAAATAAAGAATTATTTAATAAATCTAAACTTATATAATTATGAGGAGAATATTTTTTTATTAAAATAGAATGCTGAATACCATTTTCTAATAACATTGGTTTTTCTAATTGAATCATTTCCATTGAATGATAAATCAATTGGTTTGTTGTTCTTTTTTTTCTTACCTTTATTATTACTGATACGAATTTTATGCTGAGCCTTATTCATACACAATTACTAGTATTTTAATTTGTTTCGTAAACTTCCAAGTATTCCTATTATTTATAGCACGTGATAAAACGATTTATTCCAAGTTTGTATTAATCAACTCAACATGCAAATTCTTTAGTATTTTAAGACAAACTCTTAACGATAATTCAATGAACACATACATATTAAAATCCTATCATAATTAATAGATTTTCAGTGAATAATCTTCGTGATCTAATTTTTATCAAAGTAAACAATTTCGTTTGTTATTAACGAATATTTGACTTAAGGGTGTGAGGAAAGTAAAAATAATACTCACCCTTATACCTACATCCACCCGCGAGATGAAATCAATTAGACTATGTGTTGATGGTATCGACATATGTATCGTATGTCATTTACTTTTTATTCATCATACAAGATTTCATTCAACGCTATAACAAAACAATTCAATTGCACGTAAGTTACTATTGTTTCCTTCTTTATATTGTTTTACTCCACAACTACTATTCAAAGTAATATTTTTCTCTACTTTATTTATAACAGGAAATACACGCATGAATAATTAGAAACGTAAACATGTCTGACAAGGCCATTCATACACATATGTATGTATACGCATCACGTTATCAGTCAGCTTTGTTCGTTACATTTTAGTTATTTATAGATTTATTCTCTGATACATGCATGAGTTAGTACAAAGTAGAATTAATTCAACTATAAGTAAACAAAATATTTTTTAGAAGTTCTTTTTTAGAATTTCAATATTGTTCTTCACAGTTTTTATATTAGGATGAGTTGGAGGTAATGCACGTTGTAATATGTCCAGAGCACTTTCATAATATGATAGTGCTTTCGAATAGTCTTTCATATTTTTATATACCAAACCGATGTTGTTGTATGAAGTAGCCAAATCAGGATGACTTGAAGGAAGAGTTTTTTCTTCAATTTCAAGTGCTTTTTCGTAAAATGAAAGCGCTTTCGAGTACTCTTCCATACTGTGATACACACTACCGATGTTGTTGTATGAAGTAGCCAAATCAGGATGATTTGAAGGAAGAGTTTTTTCTTGAATTTCAAGTGCTTTTTCGTAAGATGCAAGTGCTTTAGAGTACTCTCCTATGTTGTCATACACACCACCAATGTTGTTGTATGAAGTAGCCACTGAAGGATGATTTGAAGGAAGAGTTTTTTGACAGATTTCAAGTGCTTTTTCACAAAATGAAAGTGCTTTTGAATACTGTCCCATGGCGTTATACACACTACCAATGTTATTGTATGAAGTAGCCAAATCAGGATGACTTGAAGGAAGAGTTTTTTGATAAATTTCAAGTGCTTTTTCGTAAGATAAAAGTGCTATAGAGTACTCTCCCATGTTGTTATACACCAAACCGATGTTGTTATATGAAGTAGCCAATGAAGGATGATTTGAAGGAAGAGTTTTTTGACAGATTTCAAGTGCTTTTTCACAAAATGAAAATGCTTTTGAGTACTTTCCCATCATGTCATACATCAAACCGATGCTGCTGTATGAAGTAGCCAAATCAGGATGATTCGAAGGAAGAGTTTTTTCTTGAATTTCAAGTGCTTTTTCGTAAGATGAAAGTGCTTTAGAGTACTCTCCCATGCCGACATACACACTACCAATGTTGTTGTATGATTGTGCGAAATCGAGATGATCTGACGGAAGAGTTTTTCCTCGAATTTCAAGTGATTTTTCGTGAGATGAAAGTGCTTTCGAGTACTCTCGGATCTTGTTATACACACTACCAATGTTATTGTATGAAGTAGCCAATGAAGGATGATTTGAAGGAAGAGTTTTTTCTTGAATTTCAAGTGCTTTTTTGTAAGATGAAAGTGCTTTAGAGTACTCTCCTATGTTGTCATACACACTACCGATGTTGTTATATGAAGTAGCCAATGAAGGATGATTTGAAGGAAGGGTTTTTTGCCAAATTTCAAGTGCTTTTTCGTAAAATGAAAGTGCTTTTGAATACTGTCCCATGGCGTTATACACACTACCAATGTTATTGTATGAAGTAGCCAAACCAGGATGATTTGAAGGAAGAGTTTTTTCTTGAATTTCAAGTGCTTTTTCGTAGTACCAAATAGCCTTTTCATAATCATCTTGATACAAGTGGACAGTTCCAAGCTGATTATAATAATGCGCTTTTTCACCCTCATTCGATGTCTGTTCGAGTAATACGTTATAAAGTTCTTCAGCTTTATTAAATTGACCAATTTTTAACAATAAGTTACCCAATCTCTGCCATCCAGTACCACCACTAGCTTGTTCTCGTATTCTATCAGTAAGTAATCGTAGTTGTTGGTCATCATCCGACGTTAGTTGTAATTCAACTTGATAAAGTTCATTCTCATTGTCTATTTGTTTAGTTGCACCCACCCGAAATACGGTGTGCATTGAGAAGAGAATTTCTGCTTCTTCCTTGAAATAACTCTCCTTTTTGATGGAGGCAAATGGTGTTGATTTAATACAAGGATCAATGGACATTATGAAGAAAATGCGAACCATGTCCACGTTTTCTGACGCGCTATAAGCAAGTCCAAGAGCTATGTCTTTCTCCGTAGTAGTGGATAAAAAGTTGTTGAAAGATATTAAACCACCTTTTGTCTTTTGCAGTTTTTCGAAAATTGCTTTGGATAAACCTTGTCCCCGATAAACGATGAATGGTTTGGCATGATAACTATGCACTTGTTGTTGATGTAGTCCTTTGATTTGTTGGTGAAGATCATGAATGAAAAATCCCATATTAATAATAGTATCGCCATCCATAGAGCGAAGGGCATAATTGAGCATTGAATAGATATTGGATGGAAAAGTATACCACCAAATAGCTAATTGATCATGGTATTCTTTCTCAAAACGGTCAATATTGATTGGTGATACGCTGTTAGTATTTCGACAATAGACAGTAAAGTCTTTGATGGCTTGTTTACCATGTTTCATATCAAGAAGAATGTCCTTGAATATTTGGGTGTACATAAATGTTGGCTCCAACTGATTTAAATTACCAGTCGGCTCCATGTGATTTGCTGTGACAAAACTCATTGCAATCGAATCTCGATTGCATTTCTTGATATCTAAACGTAATGCTTCGCATAAGTCATCGATGTTGATATGAACGCTCTTAATTTTTCGCCATTTTGTTGCCCATTCTTCATGTAAGGATTTATTGTTACTGAAGCGATGCATACCATGCAGCTGAGGAATATCATTGATGAGGGGCATTATTTGTTGAGTTATAGTATGTTCGGCAACAAGAAAACACTTGATGTCTGGACAATCTGTGAGAAAGTCAATGCATTCATCTCGTTGCTTAAAAACATTGACATCGTTAGTAACAGTTCGTAATTGGGCCAAGTTATTTTGGAAAACATCGTTTGTTTCGTCCATACTTTCATCTAACCAGATGAGTGAATAGTTTCGAACCATCCGCCGTCGTGGTTGAATAACATCAGATGATAGTACTGTTGTATTATTGCTATTCATGAACGCATTTACTGATGAGGAAGTATCTTGATTTGATTCTGATTCACTCATTTTTTCCTTATTATAATTTGATGCTGAATATAAGCTTGCCAATAATTGTGGTTGTTGTTGTTTAAATAATAAGAAAATTCACTGCTCTTATTTGCAATAGCAATAATGTCTTTTTTCTGATTTTTTTAACGATACTCAAAAGGAAACTTCAACTAGTTGCCTTTTGAAGTGCTATTGTGAAGAGTAAGAGACATACCAATACAATAAAATTTCTTAACAACATTGTAATGAGTTCTTATATATCAGCCGGATAACAGCAAAACAAGATGAAAAGCGCACACTGAAGCAAGACAAAATCCCAACTATATATTCTCTTTCAATCTAAAGAGTCAAAGATAAACGAAAAGAGGAAGTGTGAGAAAAGTATGAATGAAAATAAAGCAAAGGTCAATAAAATGATTTGGTTTCATAGTAATTATTTCCAAGGTTTTTTGCCTTATCTGTGCAATTATTGTAGTAAGTCAAAATGCCATATCGACACTTTATCATTGAAACGAAATAGAAAAAGAAATATGATTCAAGCAACAAATGTTTATTATCTTATTCATACTTCGTTTTATTGTTAAATGGTTGTGAGAGATTTATTAAAATAAATGGATTGAAGCGAAAGGTTTTCAAAACTTTGTAATTTTCATATGCCAGAGATCTACCATCAATGAACAAGAAATAGTTATTGGTTTAAGAATATCGTCGAAACTTTGTTGTTTTCTATCAGAAAAATGAAAGTGTAAATGTGGGTGATGTGATCATTTCTGATGTAATAGACACGACTAGAGAACTAGTGCATGTTTATATTTATTTCTAATACAAAGAATCATGATCACACTATATTTCATCATTCTCTATATACTGCAAAATGTGAAAGTTTACACACTAGCAGAAAAAAGGTTTGATTATTCGATTAGAATGGATGCGAGCACCCCCTGTCTTTTATATAACCTCAAGATGCATAAGCTTAAGAGCATTTAAGCATGTGTTTGATTTGTGAAATCGTATTTTAGAGAAATAACTAGATGGTAATCGAGTGAAACTGCGATGTGATTTGTTATTTCGGTTTTCATAGTCTAGAAGCTTTGTTTGAATTAATGTTATATTATATGATATGCTTTTTTAAATTGAATAATCTCTAGAAATGAATGATATTTATTTATTTAATATTATTAAAGTAACAAAATAAATTGAACAAAAAATGAAATAAATTAATATTGGTTTATCTATGTTACAAATAATTAAAAATCATTAGCTAAATGATTTTTAAGAAAATTGCATTTCAGTTTATTATAAAATTATATTAAGTCGATCGTTTGTTTTTGCTTATCTCGCTACAGCATTGAGTAGTTATAGTCTTTAGAAAAAGAAATATAAATAAAAAGTAATAATGTTAAATTTTCTTTTTGCTGCATATTTTTTATGGTTTTTTTACTTACTTTTGAACGTAGCAATGTTTTAATAGATACAGCCACTTACCTTTTTAAATAAAAACCAATACTAATTAAATATAATATTACTTTGATCTAAAATTTGAGATCTACGAACAAAGAAATCTTTAGAATTTTGCATATTATCATTTAATCTGAAATGCATGAATAAATAAATTTTTTTGAAATAATTTACTTTTAGAATTTTACTTTTGTATAAATCCATAGTTTGGTTTTCAAAAATAATGAATGATGGTATCACGATAAATTTTGTTAAATACTTTTTTCGGTCATTTTTTATTAAAGTAGAATGATCTTAAATAAAATTGTTATATATCACTCTTATCGAGTTGTTATGATTAGTTTTAAGTGACTATCATATTTTCGGTCATTATTAATATAATAAAATGAGTTAATAAAAATCTATGCGAAGCATTCTAATGAGACAAATCAAACAATGTGGATTTTCGTTTCATAGAACAAGGACCTGGATAATGAAAAATCAAAAAATATCAAGACCGAATTGATACCTTTTGTTTTCCTATATTTCATACGCGATTCAGTTCACTTACACAAGGCGTCTCATAAACATAGTTTTGACTATGCATTTAGTTTTTTACTTTTCGGGATAATCTTGAGGGTGCGGGTACTAAGGGAATACGGTATTCAGACCCAGACTAACACCCACACCTTGAGTGAATAAAAAACAAAACCAAAGCTTTCTGTGTCTATTCTTAACAATATATGCTCTCGTCTAAAACAGATAGTGTGAGGAAGAATATTCTAAAGTAATACCTCATTCCTACTTTTATTTGTCTGTTCTACAATTCTCTTGAAATTAAATTACACGGAACTCTCAACAAATGACTTCCATTTAAACGTTTCAATGCTGTAATATTCATGATTACATATAACTTGAAAAAGATCAAAAATGATTATATACTACACGTGATCATAGAGAAAGGAATCTCATATTTTGTGCTAAAAATATCCTGTTAATATACACATTTATGCATGCCTCTACTATTTCTTACTCACAATTCAACACGCGAAATTATTCAATGATGATAGACGATAGACTCTTTAAACTTTCTAGATGATTGTTAACATTCCAATTTCGTTTAATTTAGTATATGCTAAGAATACTAAAATATCATAATAGTATAGATATTTTATAAAACATACTATTCAAATCGATTCAACACTTCTGATTTACTTTGTATATGTAGAAAATTGTGTAATATACTTGCACTCGCATATCAAGCACTCTATATGGCAATGTTCAGCATAGAAAAATTTGTTCTATCTACATTATTTATTTATTAAAAACAATATCTTTAGAATTAACATATAATTCATACTAATAGTAGCAGAATAACTACATAAATAAACACGCACACACACAAAATTTCTTGTTTTTCGTTCCACTTAGAGTGTATACTATGCGAGATTAGAAAATTAAGTAATATGAATATTTAGAAAAAAAAGAGTAAATGAAATTAACAAATTCTTGATTAATTTGTATTTGATTCTGGTTGATCAATTTTAATAACAAATTCAATAATAGAATCTGTTTCATTAACTGGTTGAGCTTCACCATTCATCATTGTACATTTATCATCTTCACATATAACAAGTTCATATTTAAGATGAGCTACTTGTTTATCACGTGGAATATAATCTAAAAGCATTTGATCAGACATATAACGTGTTAATTCACCATCACATATTTTAAAACCATCTAAATCGAAATTATTTGAAAATAAATAAATAAATAAATATCTTTTTTTACCTTGATCTTCGATAGTCCATGTGCCTGTATTACCATCACGTAATTGAAATGTATCAGGTAATAGAATAGCTAGATAAGCTTGTTTTGAACCAAATGAACGTTCTTCATTTAAAGTTTCACTTAAATCAAAACGACACTAAAAACTAATGTATATTTATATATTCTCAGAAGAAGAAAAAAACATCTTACTCGGATAACTGTACCATGATCAAGATCAATTCGTTTGATATGTGAATTATTTTTATCAGCAATAAACATAAAATGATCAAATATAGTTAAACCTTGTGGTTCATTAAATTTTGATGAATTTAATTCTCCACGTTGTTTTTTTGTATCTATATCAGTTACAAAATAACTTGAACAAGCAAGTGTTTTCATATCAACACGTTTTAATTTATTATTAAATGTATCTGTTATATATAATTGTGATGATGAATAATGAAAAGCAACACCAAGTGGATGTTGTAATTTAGCATTAAAACCACTTCCATCAAGATCACCAAAAGCTGAGAGATTCTGAAAACAATTATCAATTAATTTCGAATGAGAGAAAACAGAAAAGAATTGAAATTATACCTTTGGATCAGTATCACCACCAATTAAATTGGTTACATTACCATTTTGAAGTGTAACAACACGAATACTTGAACTATTACTATCGGCAATGAATAGAACTGGTTGACCATTCATTACACCATTACAGATACCACGTGGTGCTGCTAAAGTAGCAGACATGGGTTCCGAATCATTTCGATTACCTTCTTCACCACTGCCAATAATTGCTAAACAGGCATTTTTTTGTAGTATTCTATATATACATAGAAATAGACATAAAGAAAAATTTGTCAAGAATATTTTTTATTAAACATACACATTATTCCACCATTGAGTTTCTTCAAATGCATATGCCCAGATTTGATGTTGACCAGCCATTGAAATAAGTAAGACTGTTTTATGATCAACTAGAAACGCACAATAAGATCAATTCTATGGTAATTTATCATACTTACATGGTGATTCTGTAATACATAAATCCCATGGTGAAGCAATAGGTTGTTGAGATCGTTTCAATCCACCAATTTTATCACTGCCTAAACGACCAGTACCAATCAATGTAAGAACACGACGAGAATTTGGATCAAACTAAATATACATATTGAACACAATAGTCCTATTAAACAATATTTCGCTTATTCTTACCACTCGAATTGCATGATTATTTGTATCTGCAATATAAATACAACTATTATATTCCACGAGTCCATGTGGTGAATCGAATTCTACTTGTTGAATTTCTCCATCAGCCATACCCGGATGACCATTACCAACCACTTCCTATACAAAAATAAAATTCTTTCATTCCATTTAAATATGAAATTAGAAAACTTACAATAACTTTTCCATCAATTTCACATAAAATCAATTGATTCGAACCAGCAAATGAAATACACAATTGTCCATTTGCTGTTACACATAAATGACTTGGATATGTAAATTTAGCTGGTTTTGGTGCTAAAAAAAGTAATAAAATTTCGTTATTACTTTCGTTAATTTTCTATCAAATATTGTCACTTGTAATATTAGCAACAATATCTTCTGATGAAGTTTTAATTATTGATGAACTACTGGGTGATGCACGTACACTGGATTTATAATGATTAAGAATAGGTTGAAGAAATATTTCAGTATGTTGAACATGATTTTCACCTTCGAATATAAATAATGGTAATGCATCAGGTCCAAAAATAAGTACTGTGGGCCAAATTTGACATCCAACATGTTTCCATACTTGTAATCCATTATCGTTGATAACATTAAATGGAAGTGATTGTTCTTCAATAGCATGTCGAATATTAGCTTTATGTTTTTCATGTTCATATTTAGGAGAATGAATACCAATGACTGTAACCTTAAAAATAAGAAGAATATCATATAGAGCAAATCCTTTATATCACTTATGAAGTGATTCCAATGTCAATTTGGCAAGGAAATAATTTTTGATATACTTACACCAGCATTTGAATAACGTTTATCAATACCAATAAGTTTAGGCATCATATGTGAAGAATGAATATTTGAAAATGTCCAGAAATAAGCCACAACAATTTTTTCATGGAATGTATCTTTTAATTGAAAGCCTGGATTAGTATGAACAGTTTGTAAAGCTAAACAAAATCATATATGAAAAAAACAATTTCAACAGAGAAAAAGATTTGAATTCTTACTAAGAATCTTTTCATAAATATCACGTGTATATTTACGTAAATGATCACTATCATTACGTTCATGAAGTTTAATTAAATAAGCATCAATAAATTCATCTAATTTCGTTGGATCATTAGCAATACCCGATAAAAGATCAAATGTTAAATCACGAAATGAATCCGTATTAAAACTAGTTGTATCCATCTATAAAAGAATATTTTAATAATAATTAAATCTAACAATATATTTTGTTCTGTAATGACATATAAAATATTTAGACTAACACAATAAAAATAATACTGAAACCCGTTTTTAAATCAGCGTAGAAGAAAAAAAAATGACATATCAGTGCACTTCTATTTTTATCCAATAATATCTAACAGCTGATTTGATAAACAATATACATTCTTATCAGTATAGAATAAATAGTATCATATTTTTATAAATACCATCTAGACATCTATTTGCTACCATGGCTCCGTAATATCTTTTTCTACAATTCGAAAGAAAAAAATACTATTAAACTATCTTAAAAGTGTTCACAAACGCCATCTATGTATTTCTTTTTTATTTTTAATAAATTTGTAAAATTAATGAATTTTTCTTTAAAAGAAAATGAAAATATTTATTTTATAAAAAATTTCTTTTTTTTTCTTCTATTTATTTCTGATTGAGGTTAATATAAGATACAAATGGTGGTACGATTATAGTCTCTCCCGTTTTTTTTATTGAAGGGCATGTAAAAAAAGAAAAAAAAAATTTTCAACTCTTCAAATTTTATTTAATTTTATTCTAGATTGACTTATGAGTAGTTCAGTTCAATGTTCTCCTTCAACATCTTCGGATGTGGTTCTTCTACCTCATCCATTAAATCATGTCAATCATAATCATACAGAAACATCTTCGACTACAAAATCACGTAAACGAACTCGTTCACCAAGTTTAACACGAGATGATAACAATGAAACAAATCATTCACCGACAGCTACAGATACACCAACAAAAAAAAGTCGAAAAAAACGAAATACTACAGATATTGATCAAAGTTTAGGGTTAGAATTCCTTTTGATATTTACAAATTTTACTATAAAAATCATCTTATTTATTCTACTATAGCACGCATTTATCAGCAGATAAATTATATATTTATCAATGGCCAATAGATCAACCACATGCTGATTCACATGTATTACAAGAACAAATTTGTGATTATTTATCACTTAAATCATTTAAAAGAAAATATCCTGGTTTGTTTTTATATTTAAAACAAAATTCATTATTTCATTTTCTTCTATAGATATTACTCGAAGAATTGTTGATTTACACGAAAGAGAATATTTAAAATCACTAAATGTTGTTAGTGAAACACAATGTGATCTAGGTTTAACAGCACTTAAACTCGATGAAGTACTACAACTAATGTCAATAGATTATCCAGAAAAATATCATGTAAGAAATTTTTACTATAGGAATTGAGTATTAAGCTTTCAAAAGATTATATAAAGAATAGTTACCTGTAAACATGCATTCAAATTAATTTCGCTGAAATGAAGACACATAATCTTATCTTTTTGATACAAAAGTTTTTCGTTCCTAAAGATTAAAAAAAAAAGAAATTTGATAATACTACTATAATCGATTGTAACAATTTATATTGTAGCAATTTAATCATGTATGGCAACAAAAACGTCGTACACTCTTGCAAACACATAATACAAATAATCATAATACTGGTACTACTTCTACTCTTTTATCCGCATCTATTTCAAATCACTTATCATTAACATCGTCGACATTTACTGCTTCATCATCAAATTCATTAGATAATGGAGATAAAAATCGTCCCTCTGTATGTTCAATTTCTTAGATATTTATTTAATAATCATACTGGACTTTTGTTTTTGTCACTAGAAATTACCTAATATAGTCCGACCAGATTTAATACGTTCAACAGTTGAATACAATACTCAATTACAACGAGAACGACGTCATGATCGCAAAGCATGTTTTGATCTTCAAACTATGGTGAGTTTGTTTTTTCTATAATATTTCTTTATTAAATTTCTTTTCTAGCAAATACATTATCCAGCTAATCGACAATATCGTTTACCATCTCATTTAACTAGAATTGGTTCTTATCCATTAGCACTTGTACCTGGACAATTTCAAGATTCATATATAAAATATGAGTCCGAAGAACTTAAATATATGCCTGTTAATACAGCACTTTATTATTATCCAAAACCACTTTCACTTGTTCATACTGAACGATTTTCACAGCAGGTAAATTCTATAAGGATAGTTATCCTGAACAAGCATATATAATAAAAATTCTTCTTTTCTATTTAGGGAGCATCAAGCGATGAAGAAGAGGAAGGTACTTCAACAACTCGTCCAATTATTTCAAATGTATCAACACCACAATCACCTTCAATAGTCAATGGAATCGGTGCTAATAGTAATAATATAACATCAATACGTATTACAAAACCATCGACACCGATTTCAGTGAACAGTCATTCAAATATATGTCATACGTGTAAATCAACAAATGATGAAAATGATGAAGAATTAGTCGCATGTACTAGTTGTCAACATCGATTTCATCCAGCTTGTCTGGATGCTAGTAGTGAAATGTTAACTATAATTAAAACATATCCATGGCAATGTATTGATTGTAAAAGTTGTGCAAAATGTAACAAAACACATGATGAAGTAAAAGAAAAATTTCCAAAAAAACAATATTTATTTTTTTATTTTTTTTTTCTAGGCTAATATGATGTTTTGTGATCGATGTGATCGTGGTTATCATTCTTATTGTGTTGGTTTAGAAGCTATCCCAGATGGATCATGGCAATGTTCAGCGTGTGATCCTCCTGCATCGACTTCGCCAGCTATTAAAGGAAAACGTGGTCGACCTTCTAATAGCAGGTACATCACTCTTTTTGTATCTCAAATAAAATAAGTTTTCTCTTTTTTTTAGTCGTTCATCTCCCCGTCAACAATCATCAATAAATTCTCCTAAATCAGAAATCGTTCCTACGCGTGTATCATCTCGTCGTAGTCATAAAATTGTATCAACGCCATTATCTCCATCAAATAACACGAATCATTCCTCAAATTCTTCTTCAACTGATGTACAATCTACTGCGAACAGTCCTTCTATGAATCTCGTTCTGACTCGTCATCAACAACAATGGACTACAATTCCTAGTAATAATAATAATAATAATAATAATAATACAATTATATCAACTAATCAAAGATAGGAAAAACACTAAACTTTAATTCGATAAAATAATTCAAAACTACACTTTTCGTTTTTCTCTGTATATTTCAATTTCTTTTCTTTTCTTTTTTTGTTCTTCTTGTTTCTCAACTACCTAGATTAGGTAGTCAAATATATTCCATGTTTGTTTATTTGTTTCTTTTCTACGTGAATAATAGAACGAGATATATATGTATAAAACAAAACAAAACGACTATTCTTTATTCTTTTTTTTCTCTTCTTTATTTCTTATTCGTTCTTTTTCACTTACCAAATATAAACACATACATACATATATGTTAATAAATAACAAAGATTTTGCAATTTTGTCTCTTTTTGTTTTTTATATGGACAAGAAAAATTAATTCAATTGAATACACATATATATATATATCTTACTCTAGAATGTCATCGAATTCTGTACAACAAATTCGTCCAGTAATTGAATGTTTTTGTCAGATTTTAACTTTATATGGATTTTCATCAGTTACACCAGAAATCTTTCGTCTTGCCAAATTTAATCGTAATGAAGCGGTAAGATTTGATAGAAATCATAAACATTAAAAAGGTTTCATGAAATAACCAATTATTTAGACGATACCATTATGGCGTTTAATATTTGAAATACTTCATTTTGATCCAATAAAACCAAATCAACAGCAAACAAGTAAAAAATTTGATCAAACACCGAAAGGTACTTTTTAATAACAATTAGCTCGTCTAAGATCCTTTTATATAGATAGTAGATTAATTGAGAACTTTTTTAATACTCTGCTCGAGTTATAATAAACAATTCGAAGTATAAAGACAATATATTGAGTCTTAGATAGTCTCTAGCAAGCTTTAAGTAAGAGAACTCAACTTAATCATTTATGTTTGCATTTAGATGAATTAGTGTATATGATAAAAAATGATTTATTTACACGTGGTTATACTTATGAATATTTCTTATCACTTGATAGTAAAATGGAAAAAGGTAGTCGACAATTACTTCTGTGTCTTGGTTGGCTTATTTATCATGCAAAAGTAATTGATAAATGTATGGAGGCATGTTTAAATTCCGATTCATTACTGGATTATGATGATACGAGTTCACTTTATCAAGTCAATATTATTATTTTCAATTTGTTTATTTTTTACTTTTTCATTATAGATAGATCAAATTGAATGTGTTAAATATTCATCACAAGAAAAAGATTTAATAGGACAAGTCAAACAAGCTATGCATTTAAATTCAAAATTACGTTTCAGTTTACGTCGTCTCTATGGACTTATTATTGAAAATACTAATTTACAACATCAAGTAAATTTATTTTATTTAAAACTGAAAAAAAAAGAAATTTCTTTTGATTAGATACATGAATGTCATAATATGTCATCACTTGAAGCATATCTTTGTCAACATCCTCATCTTTTATCACATGTAGATTAATTGAATTTTACTTTTTTTCTTGAAAGAAAAAATTATTTTATTTCTAGTATATGATTGAAATGGAAAATGAACAACAAAAATTAAATTTTTTTCTTTTTTGGAATGAACATGAGAATGTTTTTTGGAAATGGATGGTAAAAATCATCATTATTATTTATTTTATGATAAAATTTAATTTGAATCTATTTAGGAAAGTGTACTTGATCAACCAATATTAACCGATGAAAATGAAGAAGATGATAATGAAGATAAATATGAACCATTACGACAAATTGATTGTAAACGTTTAGAAGCTGAAAAAGAAAAATTTCATTCAGCTATTGATACTCTTGATAATGCACTTTTACGACTTCAACAATTATGGATATCAAGTGTAAGAAATTCATATCTTTTAATATCTAATTTTTTCCATCTTTCATAGAATGATCCCACATCAATCGAACATGATGTTTCATCGTTACTTGTTTCAATTGATGATAAAGTTTCATTACTTTTCAATCAGTTACTTACGACTAATCCATCAATATCAACAAAATCTCAAACGACTCAATCACTTTTTCTTCATCAACCAAATCGTTTAGTTTATACGAAAAAAATTGATTCTAATGATAATAATCATTTTATAAAATCAAGTGATTTAGATCATGAAACAAAATCTTTAAATAAATTACAAACAAATATTAATCAACATATTGAAAAACAACGAACTATACTTGATAAACTTTCACATCAATTTCAAAATGTCATGATTGTCTGATATAAATATATATACATATATATTCGTTTCTATAAATAATTGCACATAATTAGTTTACAATAGTATGGATATATTGAATTTTAGATAGTAAAAAAAAGATTATGGCTGAAAAATTGAATGATTTTGCTAGTCGATTATCTAAAGGTGCACCTAAAGGATTAGGTGTAGGTGGTGCTGTACTTTTTGGAGTATCAGCTGCAGTTTATGGAATTTATAGATCCATGTTTACCGGTAATATTAAATAAAGAAATATTAATCAATTATATTCTTTGTTTATATAGTTGAGGGTGGTCATCGTGCGATTATGTTCAATCGTATAGGCGGTGTTGATCAACATACAATTCATTCAGAAGGTTTACATTTTAGGTAAGAAATTATAATGTATTCAAACAGCTGTAAAATGTAGTATAGAGTGAAAAAAATCATGTGCATAATCAGCATAAAATAAATGATTGGTTAGAATAGGAATGCCAGAAAAAAAGGTTTCATTGATTACTTTTTTTAACTAATAAAACTGTGAGCAAATAGACAGAATTGTCAACTGTGAACAAGGTGAAGGTCGTAAATAGTTATCTGTTTTCGATCTTGAAAAATTTTGCTTACTATTTTTCAAACATTTGTTTACCTTCACTGAGCAATATATAAAGAAAAGTGACTAGACCGCTTTTAGTTTTTCTTTCTGTTAATATTTCTGCTCTTTTTTTCTATAGAATACCATGGTTTCAATATCCAATTTTGTACGATATCCGTGCTCGACCAACAAGTATCAAATCTCCAACTGGCAGCAAAGGTTTTTCATATCTATTTTTATATTATGATCTATTTATTTCTCTCTAGATTTACAAATGGTTACAATTGGTTTGTTTTTATTGTGAAATAAATCTTTTTACTAAAAGGTTTTTTTTAGCACTTCGAGTTTTAGCTCGACCTGATCAAACAAAATTACCTAAATTATATCAAACATTAGGTGTAAATTGGGATGAACGTGTCTTGCCATCAATTTGTAATGAAGTATTAAAGAGTGTTGTTGCTAAATTTAATGCATCACAACTGATAACACAACGTCAACAAGTCTCTAATTTAATTCGTCTTGATCTCATTGAACGTGCTAAAGATTTTGATATATTACTTGATGATGTATCAATAACTGAACTTAGTTTTGGTGCACAATATTCAGCTGCTGTTGAAGCTAAACAAGTTGCTCAACAAGAAGCTCAACGAGCTGTATTTACTGTTGAACAAGCTAAACAAGAACGTCAACAAAAAATTGTTTTAGCTGAGGGTGATGCTGAATCGGCTAAACTTGTAAATAAGAATAAAATTAAGTCAATTGAACTTTTAGTTTTTCTTTTTTTGTTATTATAGATTGGTAATGCTATCAGTAAAAATCCCGGTTATTTAAAATTACGTAGAATTCGTGCTGCACAAAATATAGCTAAAACAGTATGTATCAATATAATCGTTTTTTTTCACGTTTAATATTTATTGATTTTGTAGCTTTCACAAAGTACAAATCGTGCTTTCCTTGATGCTCAAGCATTAATGATCAATGTTGCCGATCCAAAATTTGATGAAATCTATCAAGATGCCAATCGCAAACGGCGATAATCTCTTCTTTTTTTGTTTCTTTGTTTGTTTTTTGTTTGTTATAAGCAGTGAGCACTATACCATCGAGCATTTTTTCATCAGGAAAATGTTTTTTCTACTTGATTTGATACATAGGAAATGATGTTTTTTTCATCTCCCGTTAATATTTAGATATGAAACATAGAGCTACTCGTCGACGAACACTCCCACAAGCACGAGAAACAACTAATATTATGGCGGGTAAATCGTTATCTCATCATAAAGTAAAACAAGAAGATATGAATTTGTTTTTAATAATTTATAATCTTTTTTAATTAGATTAATCGGCCATATCGACCAACATTATTACAAGAACAAACAATTGAAAAGCAACAAAAACGATTCGATAGTAAGATTTTCATATTAATAAAATAGTTCGAATTAATTGTTCTTTTTTTTGTAGCAGTAAATCAAATGTTAGAAAAAGTGTCGAGGTAGGAAATACAGTGTTAATCAATGATTTACAATTATCCTATTTGTTAATTTAGTAAGCCAGTGAACACGTCATTGAATTACAACAATAATAATCATAGTCCAACTGAAAATGGACATGATGATGGATCTGAAGGTAAACTAGAATTGTTCTCATTTATAAGAAATTATGAATGATTAAAAACTCAAGATTATTAAGAGATAAATTTAGATGAGAGAGCAATAGTATTCGTCACCGTTGTGTAAAATTACTTCCAATGGAGAGAAAGATGTCCGTTCGACAGTCACGATTGTGACCTGCAAAACAAGTCCCTTACTCTTTAAGATATTTATTATCAACATGCAATCATAATCTTAGTAAGCATTGAGAGAGATTATTATCATCCCTCAGATTAATCAAAATCAAATAATAGAATTTATAATTTAATACTTTTAAGTCAATATTTATTTTTCCTTCAATAACCGTATAAAATTACAAGTTAAAACTAACCAATGAAAGATATTAATCTGAATTTAAAATAATAGATGATTCTTTAAGAAATTGAATGTATTAATTAGAAATATATTATTTTAGTTTCAATCGTTGGATATCTGAAAGCCAAACCAATCAAATTTCAAACGTATATATTATTATAATAGTTGATAGTTCTCATTACTGACTTCTTTAATCAATAGACTTGATGATCTTCTTCAAAATTTTCCATCTGTCCGTACTGCACTTCTTAAAAAGTACGTTTTATCTCTTTTTTTAATATTATTTATCTTCAAATAAAAATTTTAGACGAACCATTCCATCTTCATCCTCTTGCACTGAAGTAAAACTAATAACTTGTCTTATTTTTGTTAATGTATATATTCTCTCTTTTCTTCAAAGGCTATTACTTCAAGTTTATCATCATTACAAATAACTCCACAAGCATCAATTACACCTACTCTTTCAACTAAATCTGCTTGGCGTACACGTCGAACATTTGGTAAATAAAATACTAAAATTCAACATTTAATATAAAAAGAAAGATTCTCTTTAGCATTAGATGATGATGAACTTCGACTTGTACAAACAATAGTAAGTGGTGATGAAAAGGAATCATTTGGAATGATTGGTGATCAACCAATAACTCGTAGAGACATTCGTACACTTCGTGGTCTTACATGGCTTAATGATGAAGTAAGAAAAAACTACTTCTAATATTTAAATATATAGACAAAAAACAATTTTTTATTTAACAAAAAAAAAGGTTGTCAATTTTTATTTGGCACTTGTAGCACGTGATAGTGGTACACAAGGAAATTTACGTGTATATGCATTTAGTACATTTTTCTATTCGAAATTATCTAAAGATGGACCAACACATCCAAGTTGGGATCGATGGATGCGACGAGGAAATATAACATTTTTTGAATATGATTTAATATTAATACCAATTCATCAAGGCAATCATTGGACATTAACTGTAAAGAAAAATATTGAATTCAAAAGAAAACTAAAGTTAAAATTTAATTTTTTTTATTTTTTAGACAATTGATTTTCGTTCTCGTTGTATTGGTTATTATGATTCATTAGGTGGAACAGATGATATGTGTTTAGGTCGTGTTTATGCATTTGTTGAACATATGTATGCAACAAAAAAACAAATTGTACCAATGCCTGATGGTTGGCGTGTACAACCAATGAATATGATACCTGAACAAGCAAATGGAAGTGATTGTGGAGTATTTGCATGTCAATTTGGTAAATATTTAGCACGTGAATGGCCATTAGATTTTACTCAAGCACAAATGGCACAATTTCGTTTGCAAATGATTTATGAAATTTATACAAAACAGCTTATTGTTTGAAAATAAATTGACAATATACTTCAATGTTTTTTCATACTCTTACTTTCTTTCTTTCTTTTTTCTGTTGTGTACAAATTGTATTATTTGATTTATATTTAAAAAAAACAAACGAAAAGAATAAAGGGATATAATTCTAATCATGGAAAATATCTGTATTAAAAATACCAATAGGTAAAACAAGTTGTTATAATACAACAGTGGCGGATTTAGGAGAAAGGGAGCGAACCGCCCCCCCCCCTCTTCAGAAAATTGTTTTTGATTTTTTTACAGCAAATTAGGGTCATTCTGCTTCGATTGGACTCAATAACTAGTCTTCAGCCGAAATTGCCACCCCCCCCCCCTACTCAAGTCTCGCCCCTCCCTTCGAAAATCCTAGATGCGCCACTGATTTATTAATATCGTATTATGGAATTTAGAAATTATTCATAATCGGAATGACCCTTTAACGGATACATCTAGTAAATTTTCATTCATATATTAGCATTTGTAATTCTAGGTTATTAGTCATTTATGTTTAATAAGTATGTTGCAATTCGAATCAATGATTTAGATAAATAGTTACACAGATATTTGAATATATATATATATATTTTATCGATTATTCAATCGACACCTCAAATACTTTATGATGAATGTCCTTGTTTGCTCACTTCATAGTTCACATTATGTATTCAATCGATATGATTTTTTGTATATTCAATAGTTTATGTTCAATTTCTATGAATAACTGACATCAAATACTCTTAACCGTTCTTCAATCAACACTTGAAGTTTATTTCATAATTTAATTTATCACATATATAACTACGAAAGAATTATATAATAATGATAACATCTTCGATATTGATTTGTTTTAATAAAAAAACTTCGGATGCATCTTTTACTTATGAAGACATCGAAATAAATCAAACGAGATAAATTGAATCAATTAGAAGAAAGTACATAATGCATTGTTTATATCTTTAAAGATATAAGAAATTAAACTTAAAATCTATATTGTTTCTCATCCTTAAATTATTGAAAGATTCAATTAGATATTTTCAAATCTTTTTATTCTAAATCAAAACACTTGAGATGTATATTATAATTGCATTGCATATACATATATAAACTTCGCAATAGTCATTTTTCAACATATGGTATAACCTAGTATCTACTTTTATGATACATCATAATTGTTTTTAAATTTATCTATTTGAATATATTCATACAATCTGACCATTAATTATATTTTGATGATTGATAGATACGTTTGATTTTAATTGTCACGATCAATTTTTTTTTCCTTTCTTTTTTTAATAGTCATTCGTTGGCGGATGACGTAGAAAAGTGTATGAAAAAAAAATAAAAGATTGCCTCAGGTTGTTTAATATGTACACACACACATTGGATGATCGATCGATTTTTTTATTCATGATCAACAATGAGCTGCTTTCTGCCATCAAATACAATCTTTTCCTTTTTTTTCTTGATTTAAATATATGTTGACATAATTGACGATGACTTTCGTTTCACGTTTCTCTGTTCATAAGAGTGTATCGTATGTAAAGAACAATAAATCTTTTCGTCCTCGCTCTTATTCACCTTTCTTTTCAATCTCGATCAACTGATCGTCGCCGATGTCTTTATTGTCATTTAATGCGTAGGAGGAAGAAAAAAGAAGAGCACGATAAAGAGAGAGAGAGGCCTTATTAGTATTTACACTATTGTTTTTTTTTCTACTCGTTGTTTCAATTGTATCACAAGGAAAAATTTGTATTTTGCAATTATATATTCAAATTATAGAATCAATCAAATCACTTGGTGAGTAATAAAATGAAGACTCTAAAAGTATCAATGCAATAAATCTTGAATATCATTTCGTTTTTTTTCCCTACAAATGAAACAAAACGATCACTGTCAAGGTAATAGTAATCGATTTCTTTTCGGGATAATTTATATTAATAAAGGCCTTGGTCTACGTCCTTCATCTTGCAAAATATAAATATACTGATACAAGTTTTTTTATATTTAAGAAGATAATGAGGAAAAATTAGACAGCTTAATTAACATATTTATTAAATAGAATAGATTTAGACACTTTGATAAAAATAATGCAAGGATCGAAAATGTACACTTAGGCAATGATTGAATGTTTGTTAAACAGAGAATAATCAGTTTTAACGTTATATACATATGCTTACATTCGTTAGATCCTTGAATATTCAATCTGTCTGAGTACCGATGCAGTTGATTTCCTGAAGTTCTTTTTAATACATAGTCAATAGACTGTATAAAAGTCGCAGTAGGCGTCTATACATAATTTTCAAGTACTATTTCGATCGGTCTCTTTAAAGTAGAACATTTAAAAAAATACCTCGACGTGATTTAGACCGTAAGATACGATATGATTGTGTTTTTTACTAATCGATGTTGATCAGATATTAGAGATAGATATTCAACGGATTTATTTTTTCAATAAATCGACATCTATCATATGTTCGTTACAGCGATTGAATTTATTATCGATATCGGTAAGAAAACGAAAGAAAAAAGTAGAAGTGAGACCCCTAGTGATATATTTAATGGTTGGTTTATATGTTGAGACAATGGTCATGATAAAGAATGTGTTATGAATGAGTGATTTCGATTGTTTAATTAATTAAATTACGTATATGAACAAAAAAAACTAATATTATTTCTTTTTCTCTTTCTCTCTCTTTGATTTATTTAGATGTTATCATTTTCTTTTTATATATTTATTAAATATTTATTTTCTTGACAATGAACAATCAAACAGATGAAGTATTGAAAAAAATGATTGCCTCTCAATCTCAAACGTCATCGAGAAAATCACGTTCAATAAGTCGTTATTTTCTTGGAAATAAACGTACAAGTGTTAATAATACCAAACCAAATAACGATATTTCTCGTTGTTTAATATCAGTTGGAATATTTGATAGTTATAGTTTATATGCACATGTTACATTTTTTCGTGATTATTCAACATGTCGACGTTTATTAATTATAACAAATAAAAATGAACTTATTATTGGTAAATATAATCATCGACATGTATTATTTAAAATAAAATATCGTATTGATCTCAATCATATATGGTTAAGTGCTAATATAAATGATACTATAGCATCAGAAATTACATCATTAAATTATTATGATTATCAACGATCATTAATTCTTGGTTGGCCAACAGTAGAAAATTATATTGTAGAATTTGAAACAAAATCTATTCGAGAAATTTGGAAAGATTATATTGAATCGTAAGTTTTATTTAACTATCAAATAACATAGACTTTTTTGTCAATATATATGAAATACAGTATACTTAATAAATATTCTCTTGAATCAATGTTGAGTTCTGTTATTAAGATAATCATAAGTTTTATTGACGCAAGTTCACTTGTTATATTATCTCTACTATTCGAGTTATAAAATAGTCATGAAATGATTTTCTTTTTCAATCATAAAAGAATAGATCACCTGACTTTCTTTAAATAAAAATGCACCGACTGTTTTATATTATATTTAAAAGAAACTAATGTCAATATTTTTGTCAGTAATTCTAATGGGCAGAAAAAAATATAATTTCTTTTAAGCATTAAAACATTTTTTAAGACCGTAGAGAAAATTTTTGAATTAAAAGATCACTAAAAATACTTTTTGACAGGCAAAAAATAATAGTCTACTCAGACGACATGTAATCTTTTCTGATATCTTGATTAGAGAAATGTCATTTTTTCTATTATTTATTTATCAATAAAATCTAGCAAAATATTTTCTCAAAAAAAAAAACAAAAGATAAATCTATTTATTTTATTTAGAACTCTTCATTTTTGGTGGCAATTAAATAGTTCAAATATTGAACATGTTCGAGTTGTAATCGATCAAAATTCTGATACAGATCACAATAATAATACACCATCGTTTCTAATTGTAATTCTTTTCTTATAAAAAATTTTCAACAAAAAAAGGAAATCTTTTGTTTTTAGCGTAAAGTTATTAGCATTCGACCAGAAGAAACAGTTCATGATCTTATTAAAAAATGTATTGACGCATTTCATCTTCGAGTATGTTTATATATGTATACATATATATTATTTTATTTGTTTATTTATTCTTCTTTCAAAAGGATCCATTAGTTGATAATTATATATTATTCGTAACAAATGATCAATCTAATGGGATAACTCATACAAATCTAAATACACATTCTTCTTCACAATCAACTCAAATAACAAATATTCCATTAATTGGTTAGTTTATAGATTTGAAAAGAGGAGAAAAAAAGACGAATTAAACGAAAGTAAAACAAGAAACCTCATCTCACAGGTGTATTTATGTGCAAACTCTTGTTTGTCACATTTGCTTTCTTTTTTTTCTCTCTTTTGTCGAATCACAAGACTACTTAAGTTCTTCATATGTAACTAGGAGTCTTCGATTCATTTGTGCGCAAAGCAGCATAAATAACATTGCCTTTATTTTTCTTCGTCTCTTCTTAACAAAAAAAAAATAAGAAACTAATCATGGCAATGATCAATGAACATTCACGCAAGTCTGATCGATATCATCCAACAATTTTTTCTTTTTTTCGAAGTGTTATAATACGTTCGAAAAGTCTTGATTATTTATATGATCATAATGGTCGTACAGGTAAAATAAAATAAAATAAAATAAAAAAAAGAATGAGAGACACATAGAAGCAAACGTTTTATTCGTTATTTAAATAAGAGATTGGCCTTCAACGGATATTAAGAGAAAAGAGACGAGAACACCTACATCTGACATTTCTTAAAGAATTAGTAAAAAAAAGAAATGTATCAATCATTCTGACACGACTATGTTAACCACGCAAAAAAACTTTCTGTCACCATGAGTTTAATCTATCTCATTAGACCATCAAAAAAATAGTGACATATAATCATATGTCTAACCTTTCTCTTATAAAATCTCACAGTTTAAATTGATTGGCTCAAACAAAAGAAGTCAATCATATTTGAAAAGAGAGAAGAAAAAAAATTCATTGACAATACGCGTTAATATATATACATGAACTTTCATTTATTTTTTAAACTAAGCAAAATAGAAAACAAATGAAATAATGTTTATAAGAGATATTCTTTTATTCATAGGTCATGAATATCCTTATTCAATTAAAATGAAACATTTAAAAACTAGTAATGCTATACTTACAAATCATCGATCATTTGATGGCGATGATGATTTAGCACTTTCAACTAATAATCAACATAATTCAACTACCAGTTTAAATAATGTACCAACACCAAATTATCATGATTTTGAATTACGCAAACGTGATATATCAACAGGTTAGTCTTATTAGTTGTTTTTTCTTAAAATAAAATTTAAAATTTTAGATAATCAATCAAGAAAATATCGATTTTTTCATAAACGAAAAACTAAAACACAACAACAATTAACGGATGGATATCATTCATCATCAACACCCTATCTTAGTTCACCAAATCAAGCAAAAAGTTATTCATATTTATTCGGTCGATCACTTGATGAGTTAATCTTAAGACATAATCATCAATTACCACCTGTAATTATGGTATAAAAAACAAAATTTTTAAATTTCATGTAAAATTTTAATTGGTTTCAAAATTTTTCGTTTTTAGCAATTATTTGAAATTCTTTATGTGAAAGGACCAGAAACAACAGGAATATTTCGTAAAGTAGCTAATACACGATCAGTTAAAGAATGTATTGATAAAATTGAAAATAATATCGCATTACAAGATGATGATTTACATCCAATATTAGCTGCTGGAATATTTAAGGTAAAGATAAATTTGTTAATTATAAGATAGATAGTGAAATTTCAAACATGATGAATAGGAAAACCAAATACGTATACAGATAAGGGATGGCACAGGGTACAAAAGTATCATAACTAATAGTTCATCTTCTCTCCCTTCTTAACGTTTGATGTTTTAAGATGAGTTTTCTGTATGTACTGCTTCATTATTTAATTTTGATGCTTGGAATTATTGTCTTGTTACAAACGCCAGTATCGATCGATTTTGTAATTAACATAGCTATATATAGATCTCATCTTATCTTGAAAATTCCCTTCAGAAAGCTGACTTATGCACCTTGTCTAATATCTATTTAATAAAATTCTTTAGCATTTTTTACGTTCGTTACCTGAATCATTATTTACTTCGACTCAATATGATAATTGGAAGAAATGTCTTCGATTTCCAACATTACCAGAAAAGATCTCATTCGCAAGAAAAACGTAATATTATATACTAGATAAGACTTACAAATCTTATTTTCTGTTTTTTTTTGTATCTCTAGTGTTCTATCAACACTATCCGAAGCAAATCATCTATTATTAAAAGGTTTTATATGTATTCTTTATCATATATCTGAACATGCTAGTACAAATGGAATGAATCCATTTAATTTGGGTTTATGTGTATCGAATAGTTTATTTAAATCTGAAACAACAACGATAAGATCAGGCAAACAAGAAGCTGATGTTATGTCATCAATTGTTGAATTTTTAATTCAAAATTGTTCATTATTATTTGGTTCAGATATTCTTACTTGTATACCTGATAAACGCATTATTGTTCATCAAATACCAAATTTAAGTATGATAATAATAATAAAAATGTTTATTTTTACAATTTAAAACTTTGATTTTAGCTCGTCCAACAGCTTCATCCATAGAAAGTCTTGATGAAGTTGAATCATCTCCACATTTACCTCTTGTTAATCGTTCACATGATTCTGGTTTAGCTGCATCTGATCAACCATTTAATGATGATAGTTCAGAAATTAGTGAACAATTTCAACGTGTTGCAACTCCTTTATCAATACATATACCTGATTGGACATCATCAATTGTCTGTGGTAAAGGTATTGTTTTAACAAGTATAGTTACAAATAATTCCAATTCAACATTAACAACATTATCTGTTACACGACGTCGTAGTTCAAAAAATACTTATAAACCATCGAAACAATTTTTAGAACGAGAAAAATTAACAAATAATACAACAGATGAATCTGATCATAATTCAAGTATACGTTCATCAGCAACAACAATACATAATATAACAATAGGAAAAGTAAAACGTTCGAAATCTTTATCACGTCATTCATCATTAGGTAGTGCTGAACATAAACAACAACAACAAAAACAATTAACGAAAGAATCTCGACGTTTAACAACAAATGATGTTAAACGTACATCATCATTAAAACAATTTCATCATGATTCAGATGAAGCTGGTGATGATGATGATGAAAATGAATATATGAAAAAAATAAAAAATAAAAATTTATTAATTAATGAACGACGAACAAAATTAAATAGATCAAAATCAAATATTAACAAGAAAAATATCGAAGATGAATGTTTAATGACAAGGTTTGTTAAATGAAATTATCATTAATCTCGAGTAGAATTAACTAATTTTGAAATGAGATGTTTTTTTGGAGTAAAAGATCAGAAGAGCTATTCACATCGCATATTTGATTTTTCGAATATATACAAAAATAGAACAGAAAGTACGATTAGCATTGATCTATTTTCAATTAAACCTAGTAGTACCAAGTCTTTTTTACGACCGCAAAAGAATTTTTATATGGTTACTTATCACATCTGAAAATTATTGTTAACTCCTTCTCCAAACCTCCATTATCAGTTTGTACTTGTAGAGGAAAAAACCTATTCGAATCCGATTGAATTTGCAATGATAAAAATTTGAGTCTGTATTGAGAATTAATTTTTTTCATAAAAATCTCTTGGATTGATGCTTTATTTTATCAATATTAGTTAGTTTTTGATTTCATTTGAATATGTTTCCGATTAATAATAAAGAGCTATTATATGAAAAGAACATCTTTATGAATTTCCTGAATCTATGAAAACATCTCTATAGGATATACAAAAATCAGCTTTAGTATTTCATCTTGATTCACAATCTAATAAAATAAAGATTAGGCTTTTTTTACGAACAATAATACACATTGATGAACTAAAAGCAAATTTATCAATGCTCAAGTCATCATTTCCGATTAAGAAAAAAATCAGAGCTGTAAATAGACATTGATGTATCAGTTACTAATAAAATTCATAGTATTAATCAAATAGAATTTGATACGTTGCCATTTATTTCAAATTTCAAAATCTTCATTTTACATAATACATCTTTCTCATTAATCGTAACATATTATTTTACAAATTATGATATATAAGCTTTATTTATTTACTAGATCAACATCTCCTGAAATACAAGATTTAGATTTAACTACTGAAACACTAAGCACAATAAATCAACGTTTATCAAATTTATCTTTATCAATGCCAGCAAGTTCAACATTATTTAAATCAAAACAGCCTGATCTTTCACTAACAGAAACATCGACATCATTAATGAATTCTTCACAACAACCAATTATAGGTGATAATCGTTCTCGATATATTAGTCCATTGACATCAACAACAAATATAAATACACAAAAATTACATACAGAACGTAATCGAACATTTATTCATCATTCGGATTCACGTTCATTTGTACTTGGTGAAGCAATACAAATGAAACCAATTAATAATATGATTTTACCTAATGATAAACATTATTCATATCATCGATATAAATCTAATGATCAAGAACAACAATCACGTATTTCACAACCAATTATAATTAATCATAATCCAACGAATATTTCACGTTATCATTCAATTGAAAGACGACTAACAACATCATCACCACAAATGATAAAAACATTTTCATTTGATTCAAGTAATGAATTAGCTTTAGATGATAATTCTCTGTCAGTACGTGAAAAAGCAAGATTATTTGAACAACAAAAATTATCAACTGGTCGTGAAAATTATGTATGATGTTTATATTGATTATTTTTGTGTGTGTATGTTTGATTTAACAACCGGTGATGTGTGATACTTTCGAGTTTTGTCTCTCTCTCTTTCCCTTTCTTCTTCTTTTTGTCTTGTTTCGGATGTGTGTATGATGACAGATTTTCTTTCATTCCATCATTCTTTCTTAATCTCAGACTCAGGTGTACGAGTTTAGCAGCAAAACTTTCTTATGAAAACTTCTGTATATATGGTAGATACATGTGGTGAGTTTTTATTTTATTTCTTCTTTCATCTTTATTGCGATTTTTTGAATATCAGCATAAAGATTTCTCTTTCTTTTCTTATTTGGATGATCCTATTCATATATATACATATATTCATACTTATATCTATATATTTTTTTTTCTCATGTGAAATTTATCTGACGAATTGATCAGATTGATAAAAGAAAAAAAAAAGAAAGATTTACTAACAAACAACAAATAAAATGTGATAAAAATTATCATGAAGAGATATGAATTTTAATTATCATCTATTTATTTTTTTTCAATATTCTAATGATATGCATCAAACGAAAAATCAATTCAATTCCAAAATAAAATCGATGATAAAGAAAAAAAAAACATTTTTCTCAGTAAAATATGAATTCATCTAACATATAGATTTTATTTTCGATATTTACGATACATGAATACATCTAAGACTAACTTTAAGAAATATCACTGTTACAAATCTGATATACATACACATATATAAAGATTACAATTTTGACGATATGTAATGATAATATATATAAATAATAAATATGACTAGAATAAAGAATGTACACATTATAATAAACTATAATCATCATCAAGACGTTTCCCAGTGGATTTATTATTTTCAAGAATAACTTGTGTTGTCGTTGTTGCAGTTGTTGTTTTCGGTCCAGTTTTAGCTTTAAAAAAAAAGCAAATGAATAAAGATAAATTAATTGTTAGTAGTTTTTTTTTCTACATACGAGAATTTAATATAGTTGCATAATTTTTTCTTTCACTTTTCATTAAGGGCACTGGTGAACGAAAAAAACGACGGCAAACAAAATAGACCAAGAAGAATATAAATACACTTAAGATAATAAGTAAAAAAGCAGCTATCAGAATGCCACGCCAATGCTGACGTTTAGATGTTCTTGTACGATTATTTGATTCAATATTACCACTATTTGAAGATTCAGCATTACCTAAATAAAATACATAATAGAATTAAATCAATACTTTAGAAATAATATATTTTTAATTACTAGAAGTACATGAACGATGTGGTGACTCATCAGATTCATCCAAACAATGAGGCACACCTATATAATAAATAAATTTTAACAAAACAAAAAATATAATATAATCTTACCGTCACATAAGAGTATATTACTAATACATTCTTGATTACTACAAAGAAATTCTTCGTTATTTTCATCACAAGGATGTGTTTTATTTGCTTTAAAATAAAATAAAAAATTTAGATACATAAATATAATTCAATTTAAAAAAATACTTACGAGAACGAAAGGCAGTAAGAACAACTCGAAAACCGTTACCACTAACATTTCCACCATCGGTTCTAAGAAATAAAAATTATTAAAAAAAAAGAATGAATTAATTCAAATAATACTAACGAAAAATGAGCAGTAACAATTCCTGTTGGTGAAATAACAGTAAATCTTTCTTTTTCAGTTAATTGTCCACATTCAACTGTATTCTAAAATTAATCGAAAAAAAAACAATTAAATTTAATTCAATTATTTTTCAATATCAACAAACAAGTTTATCTAATCGATTAACATATGCTGATTTATAAAAACGAAGTGAATCTAAACAATTAACACCACCATGAATATCATTGAGATCTAATGATAATATACGAATACGTATTTGATTATCTTGTCGACGAGACTAAAAAAAAATAAATTTTGATTTTTCTTTTTTTGATATATAAAAAAAATCATACTTTAAATGTCATATAACAATCTTCATACGGTAAATAGGATTCACTTTTAGCATATGGATAAGATTTAAGTAATGCTCCTTCAATACGATATCCATCTCCGCAAACATTTGAACGTTTAATACCATCAATTGGTGCTGATGTCATGACATCTATTGAAAAGAGATAATTGTTTTATCTTACTTTTATATAATAAATGAAAATAATTTACATTCATCTGCACGTCGTAAACGATTATTATTATCGTCAGTTGTAAACGATAATACTGATGTTGCTTTTGTGATGCAAATACTCACAATGGAGACAAGCAACAACAATAGCAAAGCATCATACGTAATTGATTGCAAATAGATAACCATTCACTTGATAGAGAAAATGATGATGTATGATGATGATTATAATCAATACATATGTAGATCATATCTATAGTAACAAAAAAAGAAACTTTTTTTCTTCTTTTTCTTCGTATTAATCCGATCAAAATAATATGTCACAAGAGATAATTATGTGCCATACATACGACTTTGACATTTACTTTGAGTAACATTCAGCCATATTCAGTATTAGTAGCCAATCCTCAAATGAAGAAGAATAAAAAAAAACTCTTTTTTGACATTGAACAGAGATGTCGTTGTTCATCATCACTATGAAAAATAACAATACTATATACTTATAATACTTGATAGCATAAAATAGATCAGACTATCGTAATTAATTCCTAGATAAATTTATTTAATTAAGTAAATTTTAGTTCGGAAATAACTAATTATTATCTGATGGATTTTTTTTCCTCATAAAGTTCTCATGAGATTTATACTATACATAGTTTATGACGATTATAGAAGTAATTCTCGATCTCTATGATCAACGCGAATTTAAGTATGATAGATCGATTATTTATTGACTACAATTTCTTATTGATGTATATGATTTATTCGTCTGATTTTTAATATCCGGAGAAAAATAGAAATATTGATTAGTTTTCTTGAAATCTTGATAATTAATTATAAAAAATAAATTTTTATTGTAATTTCAAAAAAATATAATTATGACCTACTAATCGCTTAGTTTAAATTTTTTTATAAGAAGTTTGAAGGTTTTATTTTTTACGAGTCATAATAATCAACTTCATATCAATGACACAAACAAGATATAAAGGCCACAGATTATATCTACTTCATACATTTCTTTTTATCAAAAACGGCAATGAACTAACACGATCAAAGTATATTAAATATATATCTGTAGCTTATGTTTTTGATTTCGAAATTTTCCAACATAGTTTATACACATCTATAGATTGCATTCATTAACTTTGCAATAGTTTAAATAAATTATTCGATTCAAGAACAAGAATGTTAACAATGAAAATTCATATTTTATTTATTTACTAGTTATCAACAATAGATTCAAGAAAACATTCTATGTTGTATCATGTTTAACAGGCATTGTTATTGTTAGAATCTAGAAAAATAAATATCTCTTGTAAATGAATAATAAAAATAGATTCTTCTTACATGAGTAGCTTTATCAAATTGTGCACCACATTCATCGGAATCAATATCAATTGGTAACCATATATCTAAATGATAGATATTTGAACGTGTCGATAAGACAATACGATCGGAACCAATATCTAGTGTTATTGTTTTCGAAGATTTCTAATAAAATAATTTATATTAAAAATAAAAACATTCTTCATCGTTATTAAAAATATTAGAATCAACGTACTACTTTCGGTAATTGAATATCCATAATTAAAAATTCAGGATCACCTTCAATGGGTTCACGTATGATTTTATATTCTGGTATAGATCTATATTATATATATACATAAGAATATTTTTTATATTTTGACATAATATCGGACACACCCTTTTTCAACAATTGAAGTTGTTTCTCTAAAAGCAAATATATCAATAATTGATAGATATATGGAATTAGAATTTAACGAACATTTTTTGTTCGATATTATTTGTTTGTTGATCATCAACTTCGACAATAAATGGTTTAGCACGAACTCGAATATATTGTTCAGTTAATTGTCCCATATATTTACGATGTTTAAGTTTGATCCAGTCTGAAATTATTTATTAATTAGAGTGAATCTTTTTTTTTATGTTTTTTATTGAATTTTGTTTTTTTTGATTATCTTATCATTCATAAGTTTAGATAAAGCAAATCACTTATTTGTAACCAAGGTAGTACAATGACAAATCGAGTTATTTTTTGCTGTTCTATCGTTGTATAGAAAAAGAAAAAGAAGGGAGAGAGAGAGAGAAAATGACGATGACTTTCGGTTAAGATTCAGCGACAAAAAGAAAGTAAACAGAGACATATATATATATATATACCTATGCATATAATCAGGTCATAGTAAAACTAGTCAATACGCTTCAATAAGCAAGCACGGTGTTACACTCGGTTGATCCGATTGAAAGTTATGTTAAAAGCAAGTAATATTCTAATGTCAACATATGTAGAGATTAACGTGCATGGAATTGAGAGAAGAGTAAATTGATCGCAGAATACACACCTAAGAAAAGAGAACAGAGACACCCGAGTGCTGCAGCAAACATTAGGCATAATCGATAGCAACGATGCAAGTAAAAAAAAAGGAACAAGTAATTCATCTGTCAAAAAAAAACAACATTTTCCATGCATAGAACGAAGGTCTGAATGATTAAAATAAATAAAAAAAAAAGAGACATTTATTTGTTGCTACTCGACGAGTGTTAAGTATCAAGAAATTTTTTTTGAACTTTTTGTATTTATTGTAAGAAACATGTATGTAGCATAAAAAAGAAGAAGAAAGAAGTGTCGTTAATGTTCATTTCACTTGGCTCACTTGAGCGAACTCCTGAACAGGCCTATGATCGTTTCCTGTCCTCATCGTATGCCCACTTTTTTTTTCTTCATCGTCTTCTTCGACTCTTTTTTTTACTTCACCGGTTTGTTATTGTTGTACGGAAAGTGAGAGTAGTATAGTACTAGACACCACCACCCATAACAAAGTTTTTCTTTTTTTTTTTTTTTTACTTTTCTCAGTTTTTTTTTGAAAAAAAAAGACGACGGTGCATATGAAGAAAGGGACGAAAATGCATTTATATATATATATATCTGGATTAGGGAGACGCACGCACAAAATAAGGACGCAGAAGAAAAGGGAGAAAGGAAGAAGAGAAATAATAATATGAATAAAACTATGACTACGTGGTAACGGTGGGACACTCTAAGAGTATAGCTCTCACTCATACTCTCATTCTCAGTTACTTACACAATGTAAAGACAGAAAGAACACGAAGAAGAGAATATCGGTGCCTAGCAACAACACACGTCGTGTCTACCTACTCGGTGCACCGTCATGTCGTATTTGGTTTAGACTCTCTTACGATTACTTTTTTTTTTTATGACTCGTCATTCGAGACGACCTCTCTTTCTCTATTACAGATCGAGCCATTCTCCTTATCCCTTATCCACATTACATTCTTTTATAAATCCATCGACATACAAAACGATATGAACGATCAACCAGGAGATTATTCTTCGATAGATGCATTTCATGTAGGCCGTCGACGTAAACCAAATTTTACTGATCATGAAGTTCTTAATATAGTTGATCAATATGATCAATATAAAGAATTATTACATTCACGTGAAGCATCAAAAAGTGTCATAGCACAAAAACAAGCTATTTGGAAAGGAATAACTGAAAATCTTAATGCAAGATATCCACAAGTTGAACGAACTGTTGAAGATGTACGACGTAAATGGAAAAAATTACAAAGTGAAGCGAAACGTGAAGCTGCTGCTTATCGTGCAGCACAAGCTGCTGGCTCAACAACGCCTGTATCAAGTAAACAAATAAATTTATATAATCGAATTTTATCCATATGCCGTGCACCAATATCAACAACACCTAATTTTGCTGCTGCTGCAGTTGCTGCTGCAATACATCATCAACAAGTTTTACAATTACAATCTAATATGAATAATGGAAGTAACAATAATTATGAAACAACATTTAATGAACAGGTTAGTAAATCTATTAAAAAAAATAAGAAAGTTGTTTTTTTCCCAGCTTCAGTTAATAATTATTACTCATATTCACTTACATAATGATTGCGAAATTATTAGTCATATTTTTTTTTCATTCTAAAACATGTGTTACTTTTCTATTTCGCCATTCAAAATAAATCCCATAAAAAAATGTCTTTTTCTTCTTTTTTGTAAAAAGCATGACAAAGTTCGAAGAAAAAAAAGATAATTTGTGAACTATAAATATATATAAAATCAAATTTTCTCATTAAATATCTACATCCGAAACGACTCAGAATAGCATATAATTATTTCTAATTAAAATCATAAGAGAAATGAATTTATTTTAGTCATCCGATAAAATTGATTCACCATCATCAGATATTGGCAATGGTATGAATGGACACTTAGATTCACCAGGTGATGAAAGTGCTAGTCTACTTGGTAATGATGATAATTCTCCAAGTCCAGCAACAAGTCTTCAACCAACATCACTTTCATCATTTCTTCCATCACAACAATGTGCAACATCGATGACAAATATAAGCAATGGAAAAGTATCAAAACGAACATTAGATAAACAACGTAAACATTTAAAAACATTACAAAATAATCAATTTACTAATTCAACAAAATCCTATGATCAACAACAATATTCACTTCGTTATAAATCATTAATTAAACGTAAACGTACACTTGAATTAACAACACAACGACTTATTTATGATAAAGAACGTTTAATAATTGAACGAAAAAATCTTGATATTCAATTAGCAGTTAATGAATGTGAAAATGAACGTATTGCTATTGAAAAACGTCGTACTGAACTTGCTATACAAAAATATCAATGTGAATCATCATCATCATGTATATCAAATGGTATTAATAATCATTTATCTGATGATCATGAAGATCATGATGAAAAAAATAGTCTTGATGATATGAGTGATATTAATGAGTAGGTTTATTCATATGCACAACTGTATATGTTTTTCTCTTTTTATCAAATCCGTCCATTTTCTTTGCTATTTCTATTCCCGAATCTCTCTTTTTTTTATTGTCTTAAATTAGCACCAGTGTGATATTGTTTGTTTTTCTTTTTCTTTTTTTTGTGCATACTCATGTGATACTCAAAGCTGAACAGAACGAAGGCTATAAAAACAGAAATCTTTTGTGATACTCACATTTATTTGACATGCAAGACGAAGAAAAAAAAACCCTATTTGTTCTTTCCAATGCAATGCACAATCTATACACATATACTACTATAATGTTATTATTGATCATTTCGTTTGTTTATTTTCTCACATATGTCCACTAGCATATGTACGTATCTATCGTGCATTTTTTTTCTTTCTTTCTTTCTTTATGCGTATTTTTTTGTTAACACATTGCTATTAATGCTTTTTTTTTCAAAAAAACCTTGTATGAGTATTGTCCAAACGAAAAATACAGTGAGGAAAATAATAGTTGACTTACCAGTATCAAGTTTAAATTGTGGATATTTATTTTCTAAGCCTTCATATATTAACGTAAGTAAAAAATTCCTAAATGTTTCACTTGTTTCAGCACGACGATAAAAATCAGGATGTATAATTATGGTAAAAATTATACAAGCTTGTCCATCTAAATAAATAGATTATTTTTAGTATAGAACCGAATATTAAACAAACGTTTATCAAGATCAGCTACGGGTTCACCCAAACTAATTGGTACACGATATCTTCCTGGATCTTCGGATTTAACAATTTCAATAAGTTCTTCTTCGGTTATTTCTCTTGGAGCATTTATTTGAGTTGATGTACAAACATTAATGAAGACTTTTTCATTGGTTTCAGCATCAATTCGTTTAGTTTTTAAACAACAGCCTTAATTTAAAATCAACAAAAAGTTTATCTCCAATATTTTTCTTGTTCATTCTTACCAGGTTCAGGTTTAATAGCAAGACGTTCATCATTATTAGTTGGAGTTTGTTTAGTTTCATCAGATTTTTTCGATAATGTTACCTACATTGAAAAAATTATAAATGATATTTTCAACAAAATTTCAAAAATACTTGTTTAAGAAAGTTTTGAAATTCTTCATCTTCTCCTTCTAATTCATTTAATTGCATGATTATTATCTGAAAGAAAATTATATCACATTGTTATCGTTCTTTTCAAATAGTATTAGATCAACTGCTAGTTGCAAAACATCCGATAGCTCATTCTAGAGATAGAATCTTTTAGAATTCTGAACGCTTAAGACTGAATTAAAATAAGCCTATTCATTCGTATAGGAGTCAATAATGATCTTCCTTAGGTATTGATTCAATGAGATACTTTTCAACTAGTTTTGTAAGTTCTCGAACTGATATTATGAATGATATTTCCACGGTATTATGGCTAATCTATTTGCAAGTAGTTAGGATATAATTATCCTATAGAAAATCGATGAGGGAGTTATTAAGCTCAGTCTTCTGATTAGAAATATTTTTTCTACAAAAGCATTTTCCGATGAAAATCATCGAAAAATCAATATTAGATGTTTATATACCCGTTAATTTAAATAGATAAATTTTTTACGATATAGTGAAGTAATTAGATGTATTCACAGAATTACAAACCGTTCAATTTATATTTTAAATGCTAAATTTATTTAATTCGACTATTAAAATAAATGCCTTTGATTGTAGAGAAGTCATCATCATTGTATGCTGATCGCTCATTCATTCTTGAATAATGATTCATCCGTAACTATAACAACAATTGAACTAACCAATAGAAATAATATTATTTCAACCTTTATCTTAATAGATTGAAAATAGTCGTTAAAAATAATTCATTTTATTATCTTTTATTTTAAATTTATTAATTTTTCATGAAAAAATATAATACAAATATCTATAGTCCATAGAATAATCTGTGGATAGATGAAAATCTCGTCGTTGTATTTAGTTGGATAGAAATATCGAGTAACTATAAAATTGTATATTCAACTATTTTAGATAATATCATGTCTAGTGAAGTTGCTAAACCTCCTAAAGAAGCATTTACACCTAAATATGAAATAGCAACTGGTCTTCATAAAGGTCGTAAATTGGAAAAATTTGTTACAAAACGTATTCGACCAACACGACGCACTCAAGTAATTATATATTAAATAGAAATTTTTATTAATTTTTTCTTTTTTCTAAAGAAAAAAAGCAAACGTGTTAAATTCGTTCGTGATCTTGTTCGTGAACTTGTTGGTTTTATGCCATATGAACGTCGTGCTATGGAATTAATGAAAGTTGGACGAGATAAACGTGCATTTAAATATGTCAAAGCACGTGTATGTATTAAAAAAAATATATATATATTCTATTAAATGAATGTATTAATTCTTGATTATTTTTTTTTTAGTTAGGAAGTCATCAACGTGCCAAGAAGAAACGTGATGAACTTCAAGCTGCCATTCTTGCACAACGCAAAGCTCATAAATAAAATAATTGTTTTTTTTTGTTTTTGCTTTGTTGTTTCATTAAAACCGGGAAAAAAAAGAAGAAAAAATAAAACATCATAATATAAAATAAATTTTTTTTTCTCTTTTCAGATAAATGGATAAAACACCTATACATGATCCATCTATGACACCATCATCATCAACGATGATGACAACAACAGCAAATAATCCTTTACAAACAAAAACAATGGTTTATGTTTGTGGTGAATGTCATAAAGATAATGAATTGAAACCTACGGATGTTATTCGATGTATGTTACAATTAAAATATTCTTTTTCCAGTATTTATATTCTATTTTTACATAGGTACGGAATGTGGTTATCGAATATTATATAAAAAACGAACAAAACGATTAATTGTTTATGATGCTCGTTGATTTATTATGTGACTCTCTTTTTCTTTTTTTGTTATTAATTGTATGGAGTAAAACAATGTATTAAACTTGATATTTAAAATGTAAAATAAATATAGAAATGGTTAATTATAATATTGAATTTATTGTAAATAGAAATTTCTTTTATTTAATTCTAATAGACAGAATTGTTGGATCATAGCTTTTATAGTTTCGAATCAGAATGTTATTTTTAGACTAATGTTTAGTAGTTCTTATATATTCAAATAGCTAAGAGAAAGATAGTTAAGACTTCAGTCATGGAATTTATGAAGTCTTTTCTTTCGTTCATGAATGGTTTCAAAAAAAGTTAATATAAAATCATGACTTGTAACATTTGTATAGACTATAGCGTACGTCGCTAAGTTCTAACAAGATAAGAATTGAAATTTCATCTACTAACATTTAGACATACAATTAATTCTTAAATATATTATTTATTTATTAGTACACATTCACGGCAAATACAACAAATCATTATCAAAAAGTATACAAATCAATATTTTCTTATAGAAAACAACTTTATTAATATAAAATTCTATCATGCAACGAATCAACGTAGACTTCTCTTATGGTTATATAAAGATAAAGATAATACAGTAATGAATAATCAAAATGCTACTATACGAACACATAATTTTCTTGTCTCGAAAGATCTTATAACTTTGGTTAGAAGTCACGTCGGTTTCTCGTGCAATATAAATCCATACGTTTTGTTTTATGTTCGATCGTTAAGTCACATAGCTATCGATAATATTTTTCGATTTATCATGTCTAACTAATAGTCTATTTTAATATTAATAGCAATGTCATACTTAACATATATTAGATTCGCTAGTTTTAGTTATATATATATATACAAAGGATTCTGACAATGAACCTATTATTTATGATATATATTTCTTAAACTGAAACCTATAAATTGCTTGACTACGGTCTATAAATAATTCAAGTATGCTCTACAAATGACCAATCTTTATATGTATTATTTAGAGCACTCATGCAAAAAATATGATAGTTGAGATCTCGATTTAGACTCAAGAATTGATAATATATTATATTAAATAATTATTTTCTAAAAGAAAGTAATATACTGTTTTCTAAAGAATTTAACAAAACAGCTAATTCTATGAACTGGAATTCGATACTTTTTATAGTTAAAAAGTTCGACTATTCTATTAGAGTACTTGTCAAACAGTCATAAGTGAGATTATTATCTGACAACATCGAAATTTATTAATTAATTCTATATGTATTAAAATATTGATCAATATTCAATTTTTAATCTTTTATTCAAATCACGAAAATATTATCCGATTAGATCAAATATGTCTGTAGAATAACAATTAATTAATTTATATATATATACATATTTTTTCTTTCTTTATCTTAACACGAATTCATTAGGGAGAACATATTCAAGTAGTCTATTTCCGGTTAACGGATACAGATGTTTTAAGCCAACAATTAATTCTATAACTAAAATACATTTCGAATCATGTTTTTTAGCTAATAGAATATAAATTCTTCTATCAAAAATATAGAAAAAAGTTATTGTCTAAACGAGTGACTACTTTATTATATGGATCTATTATGTTAGTGTGTCATAATTTAATAGAATATTATCAATATTATAGGCGAAAAAAAATGAGGAAAACAATCAGCAATATAAAACACGAGAGAGAAGAAAAAACACATTTGTAATTTAGTTGACTACCTGTTGACTTTTTTTTTTGGCTTTTTTTCCTTTCTAATATATTACTTTTTCTTTTTTAATATATATATATATATATATGGAATGTATATGAATTCATATACACATTAAGACAATCTATGAATATATAGTCGAGGTATATTACAATGAGTCAAACAGACAAGCATAAAAAACAACAAGGCAATAATAGTAAGGTATGTGCATATGAATAAATGATAAGTGTAAGAAAAAATAAAAAAGAATTTTCAACTTTGTTGTTGATGGTATTTTACTTTTTTGCCGAGTAATTGCTCTACTAATCATGTCTATGTCGACAAAATCAAACATGCAAGCAAGATAAGTGTGTATATAGAAACTATTGAAAGGAAAAAAAAGATGACAGAGGTAAGTTAGTCAAGATGCTTATTATTATTGCATGTTTGATGAGAGAAATATGTCCGGTTTACGCGAGGTACTCACAAGTAAAATCCTAGTTAATTATGATTTCTAATCAAGCGGAAAAAGAAAACATATCAATCTTAGAATAAGATACTTGTCATGCATTTAGATACCATCGAAGCAGCAGAAGCGAATGTGACCAAGAAAAGAAAATTATTATCGATCATTTATGTTCTTAATGAGTAAGATGCATGCGTGTAAATTCGGTCTCTCTGTCTTTTCCTCATCAAAATCTATCAACAATGTTCTCACTTCCTTTTCCTTATTCTTTCACTCATTTTCTCTTGTATTGCATGTGTTCGCCTCTCAAGACTGATACATTATGATTACTTTTTTTTGTTCGCCAATATAAACGACGGCAAGCAAAAAAAGAAGAAGAAGACGAAGAAGTTGCATCTACTATTTTCATTGACATTATCTTACACGAATTCAATATTAGTATTAAGATATATAAGCAGATTTTAAATAGAAATACTCATACAAACAGTAAAATAACATTGAGTTCATCCCATTTTCATATCCCGTATTATTATACACGAACGAGTTAACACCCGTCATGTTATATGAAGTATGTAAGTTTCTCTATTTTATTCGGAAACTAAACACTTCAAATGGCTAATGAACAGGTAGATTAATAGTTTGATGATTGTTTTTTTTTGAAAGAAACTGTTATTTTAATATGCATATATACATATTTTTTTTGCTATAGTTCGGTGATGAAAATACCGGTGCTTATCCATCTCGATGGTCTGTTCCTGAACTTAAAGATCGTCAATCAAATATATCTGTATTTTCTCGTATATATGAAGAATATACTGATTCAGAACATTTCCTTGAATTTACTCGAAAAACAGCTTCAATTCTACTGCAAACAAGTAAACAAAATTAGGAATATCAATCATTTTCTTTTCATATTTCTATTTAGAAACAGCTTCATTTGTATTTGCTGTATCTCTTGTTTTACCCTTGATTATGATTGGTGTTGGTAAGATTTTCATTCAAAATGAATTTAGTTAATTTTTTTTCTCCAGGTATATCAAATTTAGAAGAATGTCCATTAAATCGAAATATTCCAGTTTTTGTACTTGTTGGCGGTGCAATAGCATCGCTTAAATTACTTCAAGTACTTTACAAACAATATAATCGTCGTCGTGGACCAGCTGAAGAAGAAGCAACTGATACGAATAATGGATCGGTATAGTTTATTGAGCAATATAAAAATAAAACCTAATCTTTTATGATGATTTGTTTATAGACAACAAAAAAATATGAATTCTCTTTTGAGATTCCTCTAGACTCCAGAGATTAAGTTGATTAAATATTCGATTTAGAGAATATGGAAAGAGAAAGTTCTAAAAAAATATTTTTGTTGTCTTATTTAATTATCTTATAGAATATTTTGACACGAAGTGTATCTTACACAATAGATAATTAGAAAAATAAGAAAGAAATCTCTTGAGAGATATTTTTATTCAAAAATAATATCATAATTAAATTGTTTCAATAACTAGTCAGTTAATATTTTGTTCTATATACCAGAAATTCTATTAATAATTAAACAATAAGAAATTTAAATGTTTCCATTCGATAGAGATGAGAATATAATACAACGATTGAACTCTTGAAAGAAATGTCAAGTTAAGTGTGCTCCAAATTTGGAGTTTACGGATGTCTAAGTTTTAGAGAAAAACTCTACCTGAAAACTGTAATTATCTGTTTTTGATTGCTCTAATAGATACTCTGGACTAGAGAACTGCACTGCCCTCCGAAACCCGATTCCGATGGAGTCGGAATCGGAGCTGAAATAAAAAAGCCCGACTCCGTAATTCTCTAATGGCTACATTATAAAAAGGTTTTTCAAAGTCGGAGTCGGAATCGGAATAAAAAAGCTCGATTCCGCAGTTCTCTGTTCTGAACTGTGCTGAATCGACTAGTAATGCTCAAGAAATACAAGCTACAGAGTGTCGAAACACTTGAAACTCGTAAACTTCAAATTTGGAGCTCACTTAACTTGACCTGAAAGAAACTAGAAATAGATAATGATAATTAATCATTTACAAAGCAGGTCTCATTTATTGATTCATGTATTTCAATAATTACAATTGACAAATATATTTTGTCGAGAAAATACAATAAAAACGAGATTTTAAGAGTAGAATTAATTATGAAATCGCCGATATCTCGAAAGATTTAATTTAATGCCGAAGAAAAATTAACTTTTACAATTAAATAAATCTCTGTATTTTTTCGTTTATATAAGTAAATAATTATAGATCTTATCCAGATTGTGATTGATTATCTAAAAAAAAATATTCCCGAGATTTTATTTTGTATATCTTGGTAAAGAAATATTTTTTATAACCATATAAACGAATAATCTTATTTCTATAACTAACTATATCGTATATAAAAGCACGTTTTCATATTATTCTAATTAATATAAGCTTTTTTTTGTTACTAACTATAACTTATCGATATCATGCACGTATAATTATTAATATGATATTTTTGAATTCTTTAGACATTTATGGATGTTCTTACAACACTAATTCTTATTGTTTGGTTTATATATGGTAATCATATAATCTATCGTTATCGTATACCAAGTTATGAACAAACAACAGAAGATCCAGAACATTGGTGTACAAAAAATGTTTATGTCTTAACTTTAATTAGTGTCGCTTATACATATGCATTGGTAACATTAATGGTTTTAATTCTTCTTATTGTTGTATGTACTGTTCATTTTCAAAATCATCGTCATGCCATCCAAGAGGCAGATGATGCCGAATGCGCATGAATGACTTAAGACTTTATTTCTTTTAATAAATATATATATATATATATAATCATATATCACTGTAACACACACACACACACGCAAACACATACATGCACACAAAGATTATTTTGTTATCTATAAATTGTTCTAAATTGAAATAAAAACAGTAGATATATTAATATATTCGATGTCCATAGACGATATGAAGATGAACTGATATGTATATCACGTTCACCATTTACATTTGTTGTTGTTATTGCAGTTGTTAATGCCGATCGAATTTCTATATAATGACAATATATAAAGATAGAAAAGGAACAAAAAAAAATTTTTTTTTTTATACTTGTAAATAATCGATTGGAATTTGTTTTCGTTGAATGATGTTTTGAATGTCGATGATTCTTTGTAGTTGTTGTCATTAATTCCTCTTAAAATATACATATTAAACACATTCTTGATTTAAATAAAATAACATACGAAGTACAATTACAATAGCTTCCATTCGACCATGAACATTTTCAGCAATACAATTGTATTGTCCAAAATCATCATTATTATTCATCTATTCAAATTTATATGTATTTGATTATGAATAGAATTAAATGTATACCTGAATTGTCAATTGACTTATTGACATTGTTTGATTAACTCGAGTGTTACTTATTTTATTCTCGTCAATTATTTTGCTATTTTTCTCCCAAGATATTCGTGCACTTGGTCGACTTAATACACGACATTCAAGAGTTACATTTTGATATTGTTCACTTGGAATTATATCATTATTTACAGTTACAATCGGTCGATCTAAATTTAACAAATTTTTTTTGTTATTAATAAAACTAAAAACAAAATAGTTCAATTTACATTCGACATTAATTGTAAATATTCGATTTGAAGCTGGTAAAACACCATTATCAGCAATACATTCAACTGTACGTGGAAATGCATGTGTTATTGATGGAATAAACCAAATATTACTATTATCAGGCGGTACTAATAAATATAAATTTGTCAAGTGAAAGATAAGATTATAAAAAACAAAAAGTAAGTTCAAGTATGCTTGCTACTTGACCTTAGATGAACATCATGACACGTGCTCAATGAAAAATTTCACATAGAAGGATGTCCTATTGTTCTATGTCTCTGTCTGTCTGGGTGTTTTTTTTCTTCTTTGCGCAATATGATCAGTATAAGTAGCTTAAGAGTCAATGCGTGCGTGTGAATTTGTCAAAAGATGATTGATCAAGGATTGAACACATACACACGCATTCATTAACATGTCTACTTACATGGTTCGACTCGATGCACATCAGAATCACGAATACGCCAACGTATATAAGGCATCGGTGTACCTTCAGCACGACATGATAGTGTTAAAGGTGATCCAGCACGAATTAAATGTAATGGCGGATTTGGACGAAAATCAACAATACGAGGTGGAACTAAATAAAATATAGAAAATAAAAAAAATCGAACTGAATATGTCTGTTTTAATTTGAATAGAGAAAGCTGTCAAGAAATATAAAACTCATATAGTTATTTTTTTTCAATAATCATATGACAGAACACGTATCCACTTTAAATTAACACTTATACTTTATATTGAAAAAAATCAATATATTCTTATTCAATTTCGAAAAATTTAGTCAAGCCTATCATAAATCGTTTACAATCATATCTTTATCCGTGACAAAACGAAAAATGTTAATTGTAATGTGTCATACTGTTCATAGACAAGATATGAATGATAGACATCTTAACCCTTTTCAATAATTTTCTCTATAGTAAAAATAATATGCTACGGTATATAATAGTTTTTAGTAATAATAATTAACAATTATCATTGATAATTTACCTTGAACCGTAAGAAAAATTCTTTTTGTTTTTCTTGGTTCTGTATTGATTTGACATTGATATTCTCCTTGATCATCTTCATTAACACGATCAATTATTAAATTATATGAACCAACATAGTCCGATTCTAGACGATAATGATCTTTATTTGAATAGACTACTCCATCAAAAGCAATCAATGTAAGTTGTTCTTGTTTTTGTACATTCGTTTGGTTCCCGCCTACAATTGGTCGATCAATTTTTTGCCATAGAACCTAGATATATACAATTTAATTATTGTTAAATTCATTCAATTAGCTTATGTTCAAAGATTTAAATATGATTGGTAAAGAATCTTAGTCTTCTTATATGAACATTCACTCAATTCCCAAATGAAATATAATCGTCATCCGCATATGGAAATTTGAAATTTGATTGTGATCATCTAAGCAATATGTTGCGCATAGTAATGCAAATAATCGTTACAAATACCAAATTACCCATATCGTACAACATCTGTATGTTTATGAAAGGAAAAAAAAACGAAGAAATCACGACCGGTCATTTCACTAGAGATCGATGACCTTGTATGTGTACATTAGATCGTATTTGTTTTCTTTATTTAAACACTTGATATCAAAAGGCGGAAGAATGAGATTATTATTTTCTTCTTTTGAAACTCAATAGTTAATGAAATTTACTTTCAACGAAACAATTCTTCATAATAGAAAAGAATTTAATAATCAAAACAAAACTTTCAACGAGATAATTTATGCCTGGTCAATGTTTATCTTTGTATTATTACCACATCAAACCAGACATCGAAGAGTTAGATTCTTATCATTGATTGAAAAAGAGAGGGGTGGGAGTGATATCAATCTAATTAGCCCATCTTGGATAGATGCGACTATGATAACATACATCACAAATGTTGGTTATCAACGCATACAAAAGTTTGTTGAACCAACAAACAGTACAATTACGTCTGGCTAACAGATCATATTGCAATAGACAAAAATAAAAAAGAACGACATAAAGAAAAGGAAAAGTGTTGATAGAGACATTGTAGATATAATTTCAACAAAAGAATACTATACATAAATATGCATGACTTACTTTAAATGAACGAACTTCAGTTACATAACAAGTTAAAACACATTTGCCACTAACTGGTACTGTATAATTTTCTGTTGTTGTATCAAAAGCCACGAGAGATCCAGCTAAATGAAGAACGATGTATAACAATAATATCAACATAATTTTTCTTCTGTTCTCTCTTGGACAAGGTGTCAAGTAAAAATGGACAATCGTTTTTCCTTCTTTCTTTCTTTTCTCTCATATACTTTCTCTTTCTCTCTTTCTCTGTTTTTTTCCTCCTTCTTCCTCTCGTTCACGTTTCTTTTGCCCTTTCTCTTCCAAAACATTGAACATTCATGTAAAGAAGAAGGAGAAGAAAAAAAAAAAGAAACTAATGCTTGCTGCTAATTATGTCCTATTTCGTGATTACTGATCCCACAGAGTTGAACAAGATGATTACGATCTTATACTATGGTCAGCTAATTGAATGATGATGACATATCGGGTGTGGTAGTTTTGAACATGAGAAGCATGAATGAATTTTTTTGTTTGATCACTCATTTGGAAGTACAAATGATGGTGATGATGATGATGATCAAGGGCAAGTGAACATATTATATATGGTTGAATAGTAATGATCGTTCTCTAATCATAAATAGGTAGTGAAGTTGACCGACGTTAGTTAAAACGGAAATAAACATTGTATATGCTGTTTTCCAGACGAATTCTTTCAAGCTGTTCGAAATTGATGCAACTAAATGGTTAATCAAAAAGAACAGCTGCTACATCAGACAAGATTTATATAAGAAATCATATTTATAGTTTTTAAATAGATTTCAATATGATGTTGTATAAAAAGAAATGACAGTTATTGAACATTATGGTGTCACAGATATAAATTTCTTCTTGAGTAATTTAAGAAAACCCTTGAGGCAATTTAAATATAATATGGATTAGTCTTGATAGTTAGTCGGAAAAGAAAGCAAGTAATATTGAGTTAATCTTTTAACTCCCTGTCGGCAACTTTGTTTTACGTAAGGATTCAAAGACTACTTGGACATTTTTTTTAATAATCATATAATATGAACTGTTA